AATGGCTGTCAGTCAGGCGTACGATCAAGAATCACGAATTGTGTGGCCAGGCTTGATCTGCCCCACTCAGCGGCAGCTCGAGATGCGACTTTGATCGTTCGGCAATTCGTACGCGCACAAGAAGGCAACTTCGGCGCGTATGCTGTTGGTGAAGCGACGTGCAGCGCATACACTCACGACTCAGCATGCACTCAGTGACTGCTGTGCCGCTATACGTACCGTACAGGTAAATGCGACACGCCCCTCGCGTGTGCCCCCCACCGCTAGGTGAAGCGAGCAGCTCACTCACCATCGTCCTTGTAGCTTGCATCATTCATCGACTTGCCTTGCACGGGCAGCGAGCGCATTGGTGCACAGCGCACCGATGCACGCCATTCGCGCAGAGCAAGTCGATGATGCTCTCTGATAGAGACCGCACCTAAGCATCGACATCGGCCCAAGTAGGCAAGCCTTTGCGTGCTGAGCCCAACGGCCGAGCCGTTGTACCGGTGGGCGTCGATCCTTGCCCTCTCAACCATGCTAGTACTTTTCTTCTAGGCCGTCTACGGTCGCGCTATGTCAGCGCTTTTATTGCCATAGCGCCTGCTCTCGACCCAGCGGCCAGGGAATGCGCAGTGAGGCGGCTCGCCGGCGTCTTCTCCTTCTACTACTCCCAATGACACACAGCGCCACTCACTAGAGCTAGAACGGTGCGATCGCTTGCCGCATACGGCACATCATCCACAGGGTCGCCTCCGTCATGACAGATTCTGTGGCGGTCAAGCTGGCCCGACCGTATGGATAGTGGGTGAACGCTACAAAAGTTCCAAGGGTCCCCGGACCGCAATGAAACACCCACTTCCCCGCCGAAATCCTGCACTCCCTGAAGGATTTGGTCGCCGCTTGCTCCACCCTGCTCACGCTCTCCATCATCGCAGAAGGTGTTGAAGCTCGAATCGTCATACATACTCGAGGCTATCACACGCCCAGAGGCAGCCTCGAGGGCCTCGAGAGGCAGGATCTCGCCCAGCTATTGCGACACCCCAACTTCAAGATGCTTCACCTCGTTGCCGTATCGCTCCGATCCCTCGTCGTGCTGAGTCTCGTTGCAACACGCACCCGAGCGCTTTTTTATCCGCCGAATGCCATCCAGCTCTCTCCTTCATCTGCTGACCCTCCAGCGCATGATACTCCTACCGCTGCCCATCGCCCGGCTGAAATCGAGACAAGTTTCGGTACTATCGCACGCGGATACATCATCGAACTCGAGCCCTCGACTTCGCTAGCAGACTGGAGGATTTGGGCACAGCAGACCCGACCGCAAAGCACACCATCCTATTCCGCGTCCACTTCCTCACCGCAATCGACTTCTGCACAGCCCGAGCCAACACCAGCCTCTTGGAGCAGTGTCTTTCTATCGCGCCTGCTGCCACGATCAGCCTTTGCTGCTCAAAGGTCAGACTCCTCCACGGATCCGGCATCCAAGCGCGCTACGCCGAGTGATGTCAATGCTGAAGGAGCACCTGGCTTAAGCTTTGAAGTTCGCCACGAATTCGATAATCCTACTCTACTCTACGGGCTGTCTATTAGGGTCATTGGCTACTCTGCCACTTCACAATCAGCTAACATGACGGGAGGCGCCAGCAGCGACACCAATGCTTTTTGGTCGCCGCTCAAAGATACTCAATTGCTGAAAGCTATCAAGGGTGTGATCCGAGTTAGTCCGATCGCCCTAGTACCTGCTCCGGGGCCTTACGACGGCATCGAGCAAATCGCCTCAATCAACGCTTCGACCGCTGCTTCAGACTCGCGCAAGGGCCCTTTGGACACCATTGGAGCAACTGCATTGCACGCCGAAGGTATCACAGGATCTGGTGTACGGATTGCCATCATCGATACCGGTGTCGACTGGCGGCATCCATACCTAGGCGGAGGTTTCGGGCCGGGCTTCCACATCTCCTTTGGATATGACCTTGTTGGCGATGACTTCGACGGCCTCAACGACGGCGTCGCTGACGGAGACCCATTCTCTAGTTGTGCACCTCACGGCACCCACATTGCCGGCATCTTGGCCGCGACGACTCCGACTGATCCTGCTCAAGCGGACAAGAGCTTCAAATTTAGTGGAGTCGCTCCAGACGCTCAGGTTGGCGTTTATCGTGTCTTTGGGTGCCAAGGAGGCACCGCTAGTGACATTGTCATCAAGGCTTTGCAGCTTGCGTACGAGGATCGGGCCGACATTATCACGGTAAGGATCATCGAAGGTAAACGCCCCGGCAGAGGCGCTGTGCTGAGTCTAGATTAAGCCCTTGATACCAGATATCCATTGGTGCGCCCGCCGGCTGGACGGATACGCCCATTGCCAGGATGATCAACAGGATCTCACGCAAAGGTCGCATGGTCACAGTGTCGGCGGGCAACGATGGCGATGTTGGACTCTTCTTTCAAAGCACCCCTTCAGTAGCTACAACAGCGCTCTCCGTCGGCAGCACCAACAATGCTTTCCTAACCACGTACAACGCGACGTTCTTGGATGGTTTGGAGCCTCCGATTGTAAGCACCGCGAGCTACTACTTCTTTACTGCGCAGACTTTACTAATTCGGGCTCGTTCACTCTAGCCTTACTTTGCAGCCGTGCCGTTCAACGCTCACGATCTGGCCGTTTGGCCATTTACTGACAGCGCCTCCCCACACATGCTGCTTGATGGATGTGGGCCCCTTCCCGATGACGCGCCTCCCGACTTCACCAACGTTGTTGTGCTGGTGACGCGGGCCGGCTGCTCGCTCGTCGCAAAGTATCGAAATTTGGCTAAGAATGGCATCGACTACGTGCTGCTCGCGAATAGCGGCCTGTCTCCATTCTATGCCACCACTAGTGGCATACGAAGCGTCGCGCTGGTTGAGGCCGTTGACGCGCAACGGGTGAGCGCTTGCACCTAAGACATCGCAATGTTACTTCCGGCTGACCCTATGCGTCGATGCTTGCGCAGCTTGTAGACCACTATGTTCAAGACAAGCGGGTGACGCTCAGTTTTCCCGCCTATGGACCGTTGGCGACGCCGAACAAATACAGTGGTAACACGATCTCAAGCTTCTCATCTTATGGACCAACCTACGACCTGCTATCTACGCCGAACATTTGTGCGCCTGGCGATCGAATCCTAAGCACTTGGCCTATAGACGCTGGAAGATGGGCTGTCTTGTCCGGGACCTCTATGGCAACGCCGCACATCGCTGGCTCCGCTGCGCTCCTGCTTCAAGCAGCCCGCAGTGGAATTTGGCAGACTGCGTCAAGCCAGAGCGATCAGGAATCGCCATTGGGTATCGACTTGGGTCGACAGATTTTCAATCGCCTGCGAAGTAGCGCTACGCCAGCGTCCAATTCCACTCGTGGAGGACGTCTAGAAACGTTGGCAAAACAGGGCGCTGGATTGGTCGATGCGTACGCAGCTGTGCACAACCTCATGACGGTGCGTTGTCGAGGCCGTGTGCGGCTGAGTTTGCCATCGCTGAAGCGCAGTCCATTAACGCAGGTGGCCCCCGCCCTTCTACTTTTGGATCCTGTCGAGGCATATCCAGCACAGCGCACGTTTGTGTTCACTAATGATGCGTCGTCTAGTCGCAACTTCTCGATCACCCATGAGCCCGCGGGCGCAGCCCTTACTTACGCTTCTGTGAGTCAAGCCGCTGATTCATAGCCTCCTTACGTGTAAGCTGACTTCTGACTGTGGGCAGGGGGCTGCATACCCAAACGATGGCCCAGTGCCTCTCGACGATGAGCATCTTGAAGTTCAGATGACACCAAGGGCTTTCTCGCTTGCGCAGGGCGCCAACATTACAATCACTGTGGACTTCAGTCTACCAATGGATTCTTTCGATCACAAGACGTTTCCCATCTTTTCGGGATACCTGCGGATTGCGCCCACCGTCACATCTGAAGCTGGCTTGACAACCAGCGCACAGTCCGGTCTTATTGCAAACATGTCCCATCCCCACGAGACGATTTCGGTATCTTACTTGGGGACTGGCACTCCACTTTCAGAGATGCAGGTGCTTGACCGAGGGCTCAGGCTATCGACCTCTGACACGGCGCATTCGCTGCCTGCTATCTTGGTTGGAGGCGACGAAAAGCAGCCTCAGACGTTACCCAGGTCATACACATTCAGCGATGACGACTATCCCGTCGTCAACTTTCGTCTGCTCGCAGGAACCGAGCAGCTTCGGATAGACCTTGTGCAGGATCTGCAAGACGCGAACCCCGCAGGGTCGCTCGCAACTCTGCACAATTCCAACGCAGATCTCAAAGGCAGACCGGAGGGTGCTTCTCTGAGCACGGCTGGCGTTTCATTCATCGCAGACGGCAATGATGCTTTCGCTTCTAGGTCTTCGGAAGAAGCTACTCTAGAAGAGCAGAGCCCTGCAATGGCGCAACTCGTATTTCAGGCCGCGCCTGACAGCGATCTGGGAGGCCTCGCTTGGAGAAGATCGATGGAAGGCGCTTGGACTGCTTCCACTTTCATGGCTGCGAACTCCGAGATGGAGCGACAAAGTACGAAAAATGAATTCCTCGATGGACAGCCGACCGCCTCACGTGTGATCGGAGCGATCGCAGAGGCTTCGGGTTTACCACGTAGCTCCGAATCTGGGGCGTATAGCTCTTATGAGCTGCTATGGGACGGAACGATTGCCGGCACACCGGTCACCGCTGGAGAATATCGATTGCGGCTGAGTGTCCTCAAGATAGGCAGGGCTGCTCCGAGCGCAGAAGAAGACGTTGCGCAGGTTAGCGACAGCTTCGAAATTTGGTACTCACCGCTCGTCAGAGTCGAAAGAGGCATCGCAGGTTCCATTGGGTCGAAGATCAAGCCAAGCTAGCCGACGTGAGGTGCGCACACGTAGTAGAGAAGATTTCATGTATTATACGCTACCTGTCCTTGTTGCTGTGCCTCCTGGCTTTTCTATAATGTGGGATGAAGCGCTCGGAAAGGAGCCTGTCAAATGTCATTGGCAACACCCTGTTGCTTCCAATTCTATTGATTGTCGAGACAAAATGTCTGGTGCTGAGGTACATTGACCGAGCCTGAAGCACGATGAGCTGAGGATGCGTTTTGATTTTGTGGGGCTCTCGGCGCGATTAAATCGACCCCTTGCATTCCCCAACTCGACGTGAGCCCGCGCATAGTCGTGGGAGATGCTATGTACCGCACGAAGCAAGCGAGCGTGGTTGTGCAATGCTCGCCATAGTCGACCAACAATGAGTGCGGAATGGTATAGCTTCCGCATCAATGACGTGCAAGTCGTAGTCTTGAGTCTTGAACCTTAACTGCGCGTGTGAATGAGCCATGATCTGGAAGACATTCTGCCACGAGCTGTCGAATCATCAGTGGTGAGTACAGCTTGTGCCATTGCTGTGGACGTTGACGGCGGAATGCGCGTGATATAGCGCGTCACGTAGGAGCTTTGCCCCGCGTTTGTTGACACGGCGCGCGCATGCTGCATGCACCTGCTAGCGCAGGAACAGTCGTGGGTGGACGCGCGCAGCTAGCATGCCCGCCTGCCTGCCTCTCTGCTGACAGCCCACCGTGAGCTACGTGAGCTACATCCGATCACCACTGACTGAGCTCTGCTGCCACGGAAATTCACGACTCGTGACTGGCCTTCATCTTCACTCCCAACTCTTCGTGAGTAGTTGCGAGTCCTGTAAGCATAAGAGGGGCAAACGGCTCCACATGGCTTTCCGTGGCTTTGAATCTACTCGTGCTCTAGACACGCACGCTTCGACGGGGTTCGCGAGAGACCTCTCGTGCCGAACCAACCGGAAGGGCATACCTCACCCAACGATCACCCCAACGTCTTGGCCGTCAGGGTCTTGCTAGATGCATTGCTAGATGCATATCGGGCAGTCCTTCATGCCAGGGGTCAGGATGGTGTCTTACTGTTTGCAAGCCGCAAGTGCTTCTCTCCAATGACGGATACCCTAAAGGTCCACCGACCCCGAACTCCTTTGTTGAGCTCACTGTGACTTTGGTAAAACATCTCCCATCCACCATCACCTTTATGACCGCGGTCTGTCTTGGAGACGCCTTTACTCCTCGGCGTCCATTGCAAGTGCCTGCGACGGAGTGGCTTCAGCTCGACTGTGAGCGAGCTAGCTAGCAAAATGTGGGCACCTATCACCTTCGACCCGCCGCTGGGCAGCACCATCAAGCAAGCTAGCGGGCCTGGCAACACTTATCACGTTTTAGCACACAACGTGCCTCTTCAGCTGCTAGCGCCAGAAGGGGCAGAGAGGCTGGAAGTTTGGCACGATGGTGGAAAAGGAGAATGGTGTGCAACGCCTTTTGCTCCAATCGAGACAAACACGATAGAAGTGGCCCGTACGACCCGACCAGCATCCGTCGCAGCTGGCCAAGCGGCGCTCACCTTCCACTTTCAAGACGCCGAACTTGCCAACTCACTGCAGTTTACATATCGCATTTGCAAATCTGACGGTCGCACAGAATGGCTGGGAACCTCTGATGATAACGTCAAAGTGGTGTTCTGCGGCCGCAAGAAGCAACTGAAGCCTACCTTTGAGCAGGTATTCCGCACGCAACTTAAGGTGCGCACCCAGAGCATCGCCGATGGCGAGTCAGAAGCGGCGCTGCACAGCCTGGTAAGACTTTCCATCCCGATAGAATCTGCCGACGATCGAATGCACCTCGGACAGCTTCACGGGGTCCAACAAGTGCTGGTGATAGAGCATACGCAGTGAGTTGGCATACAGGCCGGCGAGGTGTTGGGACTCCAAGGTCCTGGGTTCTCCAATGCATCTCTCAAGCGCCGGCCTACGGACCTTGCTCACACCCTTTATCACCATCGCTCAGGCGCACTTGGCACACCTCACGCTTGTGTCATGCTCACGAGGTATCGCAATACCAGCCAGCGCCCCTGGTCGTTGCGAAGCTCACTGAACATCCTGATATGCTCGCCGTCTTCATTGCCGTTTCGACAGGTGGTAGCAATGTCGGACTGCTCCAATCTATTCAAAGGGAATCAATGCAGACGCTCTCTCTAGACGTACTGGTCAACTCGGACTCTTTCGACGGCTCGCAGTCTGCTGACGCGCAAGGTGCTATCGTGTATGCTAGTCTTTGTGACTCCACGTCCCTCCACTTCGCCATTCGTTTACTCCTGGGTCACGCACGTGAGACTTTTGAAGCAAAGAACAGCGCCGAGGTCCGAAGGCGAGGTCCTATGACATCAGACGGACAGCAGATACAAGCCCAGCGACACTGCTCGGTCACGAGCGACACTCAAGACATTGATACAAGTGCTAGCGACAGCGGCTACATCAGCGCCACTTCACCAGAGCTGGAGTTCGCGAAAGAGCTTGTCTCGCCATACACGAGCCACAACGACCCACATGCTAGCCATGTTACGCCGGAAAGCGTGCCACGAAGTAGCTCTCCTGTTGGTTTGCGACAAGAACGTTCGCCTCCAAGCTACAGCGCAAGCGTCAGTGACTTGGACGATGACGCGGAGATTGGCGCTCAGCAATCTCCATCGTGGAGCGAAGGTGGCTTGATGCTGTGCACCTGGGAAGCCTTGAATCACGAGCGACCCTTCCTATCATCTGTTCTGGCAGCATTAGCGTCATTGGAGCGACGAGCTCCTGGCGCATGCACATCGTTGTTACTTGACGATGGCTGGGCAGACACAATCCGCGACGATAAATCCGCGGGAAGAGGGCTCATGTCTTCAATGACGCTGGCCTCGGAGCTCTTGGACGAAGAGTCACCCGAAGATCCTTCCCCGCTGGCAAGCTACATCAGTGCAGTCCACGCAAGCTTTCCTAACGTTCGAGACGTTGGGGTGTGGTTGACTCTCGTAGGCTACTGGAACGGTCTTTCTGTGGCTCTTGCCGAGATGTATGGCCCTCCTGTATGTGCGACGTTACCGGGCCCTGATGGCCCGGTGCCGGCTTTACTGCCTGCCCTTGAGCGCCTGGGCGACTTTTGGGATGACATGCTAGCGGGGCTGGTGGATGCAGGCGTCACGTTCATTAAGTTGGACGCCCAAGGAGAGCTAGCCGGCATGCGCATTCAAGACGAGTGGCTCGCTGGCCATGAACCTGCGTACAATCGCGCTGCACGAGCAGCGTTCGAGAATGCGAAACAGCGTTGGCTGCCAGCACCACACACCACCAGCAGCGTCATCCACAGCATGGCCATGGGAAAAGCTCAGCCCACTGGTCCGGCAGCTCTGGGCGAAATGTCAGCGGGCCAATGGCGGACGACTGACGACATTGTGCCCGGGCACGAGGCCGCTGCTCGTTGGCTGTTGGTCCATGCTTCCAGGAACATCATGCTGTTCGAGGGCTCGATGCACGTTCCTGATGCGGACATGCTCTGCACCAGCGCACACGCCTCCGTCTCTTCGTGTGAAGCAAAGGCACAAGCCGCGTTCAGAGCTTTGTACAGCGGCGCCAGACTCACCATATCTGACCCGCCTCTGCGAGCTTCAGGCGAACTCGAAGAGGACGCCCTGTCGCCTCTTCTAGCACCGATCAAGAGTTCTCAAGGGAGCACTGGGCCATTGCGCACGCTTCAAGCAGCTAGCCATGCACGATTGCTACACAGCAATGTTTTTGAAGATGTCACGGGCGATGCCTCTGGTGCAGCCTTGCTGATGGTTCAGCCCAACGCATTGACCAACAAGGGAGACTCAACTTCTTTCTCGACCATCGGTGGATGGAATACGCGCGGACCAAATGCACGCGCTGTCGGTCATCTCTCGGTGTCTGACGTGGCCTACGCTCTGAAGAGCCACCCGTCACAAATAAGCAAGTTTACCGACGTTCTTGTTGTGTGCAACGACGACGCTGAGAGCTTCACACTCGTATCTGCACAAGAGCTCACACGGGCTTCCTGCGGTATGGTCAAGCATCTATCACGACCCGTGCTTGCCTACAATCTGGCGCCGGGCTGCTGCACGAGCTGGAGAGTTGTTCCCCTAGCGCTCTTGGACGAGCAAACCTTTGTGTGCACTACAGGCCTTGCGAACAAGTATCTTGGTTTGGGTGCTGTTTGTACGAGCTACGCGGCGCCACAGGAATCATCGCCGGGACCTCCCGAAAAGTCGAAGTCCTCTGCCAATCTGCGAGAATCATCGACGAGCGATGTTGGCGATTTGACAGACCTGCCATGGTCCGCTGTGTTCGCTGCCCTAGCCGTCATGACACTGAATACGTTGGTCGGCCTCTTGAGCGCTCATATTTTGCTGGCGCCGGTAGCACTTACTCTGGACCTCGCGACCATGGGAATGCGTCAACGAGCAACGTACAGCGGCGTCCCAGCTCCCCTGTCGCGCGCGTACATCCAAACGTCAAGCAGGCACTCCACTTCGTTCGCCCTTAGGCTGCCCTATATTGGCATGTTGGGCGCCCTGAAAATCTCTTTCCCTCCAAGATCTAGAGCTGGCACAGATGCCTCGCCAAAACCGAGACTGCGTCCAGACAAAGATGAGGTGTTGCACTTCGACGTTGAAGTCAGCAGAGCAGGTGAACTCGACTTTGTGGTTGTCTCAACAGCGACAGGTCCACTTCTAGAAGCGGAGGCACACAAACGGTACACGATGCAGATTGATGGGTTAGACGTGGATGCAAATTTCCTCAAGATCCGGCCGGTCAGGAAAATTTCTCCTCAAGGATGCTACATCTACTCGGAACTTGACACGCATGCCAGGTCGGCAATCAAAGTCAGCGTCGACATGCTAGCATTTCTCGGGAGTCGAAAGAATGGTCAAGGCCACGAAAGCGACTCGCGGCGACAGCCTTCTTCGTCACCAGCAACGTGGCTGGTGACGCTGAAGCTTGGCTAGCTTTCCCGAAGCGCAGGTGCCCTTGCAAAGTCGCACGGTTGACGAATACAACGGACAGCACGACAAATCTAACGAACACCATGTGTACTTCTCAGAACAATTCTTAGCATTTGCATTGTCATAGCAAGTCATGAGTCGCGTTTCTCCACTCCAAGGATGCAGGCAACTTATTGAAGGGTACTGCCTGCAAGGAAAATCAGAGGCGAACAGCAAGGTATTACAGCGTCGTGCGAGAATTACTTTCGTGTCTCTGCTATAGCGCAAGCGCTTAGCTGGCGTTCAGTAGCCCGGGGGCTCCGCATCAGGCTCTTGACTATGAGCTGGGTATCGAGCGCCGACCACAGGAAGCTGAGACATGATTTCAGCTGGAACATGATCCGCGGCTGCAGCAGCGAGTCGAGCCTCAGCACGTCTGGACCGGTCTTCATTGAGCCTGCGGGCGATCTGCCGGATTGAGAGGCTCGAGCGTCTGGGCTCATCGACTACTGGCTCATCGGCGTCTTGCTCTGCGATTGAATTTGCACTCGCAATGTTGGCTGAAGGACCAGACGAGGTTGCGGGCAGAGAAATTCCTCCAGGATAGGTTCCTAGAATTGGATTCGACGCGAACCGATGAGCGTGTCGTCGATGGTATAGTCGGCGCAGTGCCTCAGGACTCTGTAACACACCACGAGCCCTCCATCCTGGATTGGTAGCCCGGCCTCGAGGTATCTCGGGCGGATGATCAGAAGCCGGGCTACCTGGGAGTCATTGAGTATGCGGTCGTCTCGATCCAACGTGCGGCCGCAACTTTGCAGCCAGACGCCAGATGCGAGATGATCCAGCTGCTCCTTGACCATCAGCTTCGACGCTTCCGCTGGTTTCTTGCGCAGGTCCTGCGGTGGCCCCATCGCTGGACGTTTGCGCGCCAGCTGCGGCCAGCGCACTTTCTTCAGGAGGTGCATCGTCGACAGCATCTTCTGCCACACCTGCTGCATGCATGTGGGGCCAAGGCAAACCTGCTTTCCCTGCTTTGCTCGCAGATTTGGGCGCGTGTGGATTTGGTCCTACACCGACTGGAGAGGTTGTCGCCTCGGAGCTGGGCGCAGGAGCAGGCGGAGCTGTGCTGGTTCCTGCGGCGGGGGACATCGAGCTGTCTGTATTCTCAAGCGCGCCATCGCTGGGCTGGTCGACGCGTTGCTGAAGACCTTCCTCTGTATGGCAGACGACCGACAGGTAAGCAGCGTCCGTCTCTGGGTGCACTGGTTCTCGGCTTTGGGCGAAGCTGCCTCCGCGGCTTACAAGCCTTCGCCAATATGATTAGATTCCAACTCACCTGAGTGGCCGTTGGCACCTTGGGATCTGAGGCGTGGCAGCAAGGCGAAACGGCGCCTCTTGAGGCCACGCAACTGAGGTTTTCGTACCTTTAGAATGTTCGACGCCCGCTTTCCACTGGTTCGTGATGCTGTAGCGTCACGTTCGTGTCCGTCTGGCTTAGAAATACGTCGTGGCAGGAGACGGCTGGCCACCTTGTTGCCGCTAGTTTTGCTACGATCGCGACGCGCGGAGACCCTTTTGATGAGAGTGCGGGATGCGTGTTTGCTCTTGATGTTTGTCTGTTCTGGAGCTGGAGATTCCGCTCCTTGAATTGGCACTTCGGCTTCTGGTTGTGACGTCTCTGCTACCTCGATTCGGGGCCCTGGTTGTGCGTTCGATCCGCTTTGTGCCTTGCGTTGGCCTCGCAGTGGCCATCGCCTTTGCATTCGTTTGGGAGAATCGGCACCAGCTGCCGGGCCCTGATGTGGGATTGATCCGTCCCTTACAGAAGCGAGTAATGGCAACGGGGCTGGCTCGGCTGTCGGCTCCTCGGGAACACCAGCTTCATTGTCGACGGCCGGGAGGTTGGAAGCAGCCGTCTCTTTCGTCAATTGGGATGTCTTGGCGCGGGGACGGATCGAAATCCATCTTTTGAGGAAGAGGCGCGTCTCGCGTGTCGTAACAGGTGCGGGAGAGCTAGCTTCCGGACTTTGAGTGCGATCCTGCTCGACCTCACCAGCTTTTGGCTCGACCGCGCCACCGGTCGGGGCCACACGACCGGAGTTGACAATATCGGACTCGAGACCGCGCACAGAAGTATCTTGAGCAGCCTGATCGGTGCCGACAGAGCATCGAGCTGCCTCCGCGGTGACTGTGGCCAGAGAGGACTGCAGCGCAGATAAATCCCCAATCAACTCTCTGGCATGCGTCAGACCTGTGAGACAAGTCTGCAATTGCGCCTCAAGCTGTGCGATCGATCCTGCGGAGAGGCTCAAGCGCGACATATCTTCTGCCACCTGGACGAGATGGACCAGACCGGGTCAACACGTTCAGTATCTGAAAAGTTCTACTACTACGAGGGGCGACGTGGTCTTACCTCGGCTGATTGCGACAAGGCCGATGCCATGGTTGGTGTTGTGGGTATGCTGGCTTTTTTGGCGGAACAGACGCGTGCGTTGTTGTTTGTGACTTTGAACACGAAAGGACGCACATCCTTGGATGAACACGAAAGGGCGCATATCCTTAGAGGTCTCGGGGAAGTAGGGGAGAACTCTTATACGGCAGCGCACGAATCTGACCTCCCCATACAAAGCTGCCCAAGGAGCAGTATCCCTCCATTGCGAGGCATATGGACTGTTGAGAATTTGCAAACTGCCTTCGAACTCCCTCTCACGATAATTGTAGAAATGCGTCAAGATAAAGTCCTGGTGGGGACCTGCATAGCACCACGGGCCGATCAAGTAGCGTCGCGGCGGCGCCACAAGATGAGGACATTTCATTTCGCAGCATGAGACGCCGCCGATCGAAACGACCTGTTGTCGATGCACAAAGCTGTGTAAAGTTCTGTGGCGGCGGTACGATGGATATTGGAATCAATGCTAGGCACGAAAGGGTAAGGTGCCGCGAGGGCGTTTTGCCAGCTCTGAAGGAACCATGCGACGGCTGGGGTCTTGATAACGGTGCTGCGCGTGCTCATGAGGGATTAAGCTGGCGCGATCGAGCTGCAAAGCAACTGAGCCAAGAAGGAAGCTGGGACGTCTCGGCTTTCTGCGAAGAAGCTCAAACGAGAGGCAGCGCGAGGGAGAAGAGGCAGGGGTGGTGAAGATGACCAATTCAACCCCCATGCTCCGAGTAAAGCAAGCCGCGTCGTTTCAGTCGGGCCAAAGCATGTCTCCACTTGACGGCTTCTCCTCGCTGCCACAATCTCTTGGTGACCAAATGGGGCAGTCCGTCTAAGTCCTGCATGGCTTGTCGAGAGACATGCTGCTCAAGGGCCGAAGCAAGGGCTGTTATGGTGTCTGCTCGCCGGGCCGTGCGCTGTTCTGAAGAAAGGCCGAGGCCTGGTCGCGGGAGTAGATCCAGACCCCACTTGATGAAGAGGCGCATGGTTCTCGTGCCAAGTACGAGTCGTGGCTTTTGCCCTGTATCATTCCATGTGTTCCAGACTTCCGAAACCAGCTTAATGCCTTTGTGTAATCGATCGCTCCTCCCTCCCATCAAAGACAGCAACAACAAGACTGTCGTCTCGTCTGGGATGACATGGACAGCGTTGCCATCTTGCATCCCTTTCTGACCGCCCGTGCCTCTGTGTAGAATACCACCGTCTCCTCGCGAGCTGATAGAGGACAGATTGTTTGAGCTTCCAGCGACACCCGGAACGAGTCCGCTTTGGCCAGTCAACCAGACAAAGGCTGCTTCTGCTTCGTGTATCTGATTTCCGGCCAGAAGGTGTGCCCTCAGCACGTGGTTGAGTAGGCTCGCGCCCGCAGGAGGCTCGTCGGGCTTCGAGACGGCGTAAATCATGCGATCATTGCTGAAGTCCTCGCTGGAGTGTCCTAGCTGCTTCATTTCAGCCACATATGCCCGTACAAGTCTGAATGACGTTTGTGGGTCTGCACGTTGAGATAGCGTTTGTAATGTGCTCAACAGAAGCCAAGTAGGTAGAGGGCCTTTCTTTGCCGGATGGCTTGAGTAGCCAGTATTGTGAGCGATGGATGCCGCCGCTGATCGATCAGAGAGGTTCGCCTCGCCCGATAGTCTCAGCTTTCGAAATGCCTCTCCGATTCGGCCGTCGAGGATCCGTTTTCTGCGGGATGAGAACACGGAGCGTTGGGTTTCCGGAAACAGCTGATCCTGGCGGGCGTCGATAGTGATGTCACGAATTTGTGCGTCGGACCGCCAAGGACCTGCGGCCTTCATTGGCTCGAATGTGGTCGTTGCATGCAACCGAGGGGATTGGCCGTGGCTTCCGTGTGTCTTTTCCAAGTCGCCATAGTCGTCTTCTCTGCTTGCATTGTCCTCAAATACCGAGTTCTCTGCGATCCATCTGACAGAAGCTCGACGCTCGCCGTCAATCGCCCCAGCTGGCAACAGAGCCGGCGTTTGCCGGGTACCTGGTGATTGCGTCTCTTCTTGTTCAGCAAACGCAGGTAGCCCGGATGCATTCGTCTCCTCGTCGGGTCTTTCAAACTTGTCGAGGTACTCCATGAGCGCTTCAGACTTAAAGCGGGCATCTTTGATCAGCGAACGCCGCCACTCGCGGTCAACGGCAGATTTTGTGCCGACGCTAACTTGTCGCTGGCCCAAAACATCATGTGTCGAGGCGTATCGCAGATCGCTGGCGGATGGTTCAGATCCTGTCTCCGAAGAACCATTCCGAGAACGCGCCAGACGTTGTTGAGCCGCATCCCATGTCGCAACTAGCAGACGAGCTGTCCCAGGTGCGCCACGCAAGCGTCTTCTGCGATCAGCGGCACGCCGCAAATTCGAGATGAGGTATGGTTGGGAAGGTGCTGGCGCATACACGCGTGTCAGAAGCGGATCCAAGGAACTGTGGGGTCCAGTGGAATGTTGGGCAGCAGAATAGCGAGTCAAAACTGCTGTGCGCGGCATTTGGACTCTTGTTCTCAGACGAACAGCGGCCAGGAAAGCTTTATCCTGCGAACCTTCCTCGCATGCCACGAGTCGTTTCGTGTCACTGCTCAGCGAGAAGTTCGGCACTTGGCCCCGCTTAGCTGTGACTTGATGTGCCAGCACGCGTTCCAACTGAGAAAGACTTTGAGACTTAGCGCTCGGCATGCGGCTACTGTGCCGTTTGCCTTCTTCCCATCGTTTCGCTGCCTGTCCGATCCTCGCTAGCAAGCTTCCGTTCATCTGCTTGGCAGCTAGCCTCAATAAATACGCGTAGGTCCCTCGACTCTGAGCGTAGAGTCTCTTGGCCTTACCTCTTGTGTCTTTCTCGGCATCGCGCGGTGTGGCTAGTAGCACTTGATGCAAATTCCAGACAACACCAGCCGGCAAGTGCGGCGATTCTTTGTTGGCATGACTGATGGCATTATAGAGGTTCGTGGAGCCGTTCGACGCTCTAGGCCATTTGTCCAGGTAAAATCGGCGCGGTGGTTGGGACCGAGTCCTGCGCTCCTTTTCGCCGCTGATTAGGGCATCGAGAGCCGCTTGAAATGGCTGTCTCTGCTCGGGTCGCGGATTCCAAAGCGCCTCCACTCGTGATGATGCCGCTTGCTCTGGCTCGTGACTCATGCGCATTGATTTGCCAAGGATAAAGTCGAGAACGAGGGCAATGTCTGCTTTATCCAGGGGTTGTGCTGTGGTGGTAGGTGCCGTCGTAGCGGCTGGGCACGCGTCTGTCGAAAGCGAGCCATCCACAGTGTCAATCAACTCCCCGTCTGCCTGTATCTGTCCTCGTTCATCTGGAACGTGGTCGGCCGTTTGCTGCTGATTCGAATCCAAGGCTGGCGCAGAAGTGGGAACAAGAGGCCTAGAGGCACGTCGAAGCCTCACACGGGAGGCCGGACGCGAGCCAAGAAGGCCCGAGTCTCTCTGCGCCTCTGAATTCACAGATGATGGGGACGACCGAAGAGAGAGATGAGCTCTGGTTGCTGCGGTGCTGCTTGATCGTTTTGAGACCATTTGCTCGTCTTGGGTGTCCGCATCAGCCTGTCGTGGAGGTCGGAGGTCGGCGCCTGTCGAGTGCTGGCGTGCAGTAGAGGTGGAAGGCAGAGGCACATGTCGTCCGATAAGAGGTCTCTGTAGACGTAAGCTGCCAGATGTGGAGACCGTGTTCGCTTGGGCTACGGAAGTATCTACCATTGCATGGCAAACACGGCACGCCATGCAGCTAGACCTGGTGAAGGCATGGTTGCGCAAGCCACAAAACGCCTGAATCATTGATCTGAGTGGTACATCTGGCCGCGTAATGGCTACCAAGCTCAAGTCGTGGACTGCTAGAGCTTCGCTCGCATATATGTGATGGAATAAGAAAACAAATTCAATGTTCACGATTGATCGGCAGAAGAGATCAATGGTCCGATGGGTCTTTTCGACATCTCTCGCGTAGCATGCGTGCATCATGCAGTTTTGAGTTCTTCGCGCAGCAGTGAGGCCAACGAATTCAGGTCACGTGGCCGAGAAGGGGTGAGCAGTCATCAGTCCAATCATTGAATGATCTTCGACGACGATTTTGATCTTGACCATGGACTCACTCACGACTCTTGAACCTGAACTCGAAAATAAAGACCAACCAAACTTGGTCGCGATACCCACTCGACTTGAGAATCACCCTCATATAATCACAATCAAGAATGTCATCCACAACAAGCTTGCCAAAGAAAATGTCAGACCGCGGTTCGCGGGCAGGCTTGCTCAGATCGATGCCCGCATGCGCCAGACAACTAGGCGAAGGGAAAGGCTCGAAGGCGGTACATGAGTCATTTATTGCGTGTGAGCGGTACATGCGATCGCCAAGTGGGGATTTCCAATGCGAGGGGGGAAACGACACGAATCGGCCCGGCAGAGGCGAGAAAATGTACACTCATCGGAATGGCCCACTTCCAGTGTAGAGAGGTGCACGGCGATGGGCAATGTGAAGTGCAAGTGCAAACACTCTTATGCGCGAGGCATAGAGAGAGTCTCGATCTTGGCCTGGCATGAACTCCAATCGGCCCTCGGTGAGGCACAATCGGAGGATTAATAGGCCCTCGTGGAAGTCCGTGGAGAACACTCATGGCGATCAACGTCATGCCGTGTACCTGTCAGTCGGACGTCTTGCTCTTGCCAGGCTCGCTTCAACACGCGGGCCTGAGATATTTCATCGCATTACCTGACTGACCGTTCGAGGCGCTATTTGGAACTCTTCGAGCCCCGGCCTTCTTGACATTCTTTCTCCCAGGACATGCCATCTGGACGGCGTAAAGCTTCTACAGCTGACTTGAAGGCCTCTAGTGTGCACAGCTCGGGCTCCCCTTCAAGGTGAGCTCCTTTTGCGGCACACGCAGGCAGCTTCAATGACTTGTCGCCGTACCGTAATCGAACATCTACAAGGTTAGTCTGGTCAGCAAAGCTGTTTTGCCGCGTGCTTTGAGCCGTGTACCGCAACGCTGAACACGTACAGTGCTGAGGCGCTGATCGTCCGATTCCCAGGACGGAGAGGATGGACGGTTGTGCTGCGGGACTTCGATCTCTGAACAGCTCTAGACCTAGTGAGGCTGTGAAAGCCGGCCACCTATTGTCGAAAGCGTCTAATGTTGAGAGCAGCCCGGCCAAAGAAGTGTCATCTGCAATGTAGAGACGATGAACTTCAGTAGAGTCCAGCGTGGCTGATGAAGGCAGGGCAAATACCCACGTGCGCAGTACACTGCGAGCTTGAGGGGGTCTCGGTCACCATTGGTGGCTTTATTGTATAGACGACCTGCCAAGTCATTCAGTAGACGACCCATGGCGAGTCGCCTGTACTGATTTCGCAGCGCCGCGTCTGTACGGAAAGCAGCCACAGCTCAGCGTTGGCCCATTTCTCGTATCAGGAAGCCGCGGACTTACCCTCTGCGTGATAGCCAGAGACTGCGTTTTAGACGAGCGGCAGGGCTTTGGGCGTTCAGCCATCTCAGGCAAGACATGCAACAACTCTCAAAGACTCACACCACTCGTCCACCACCGCGCGTTCCACAACACGCATCGTGCCAGGCTCTTCGAAAACAGACGGGAACGGCACGCCGTGCGCCACTGCGGCGCGCACTGTGTCCAAAATGCTGCGAGATTGCGGTGGCGAGAAGCTTCTTGAGAGACAATATTGTGAGGCGAGCATGGAAGGCACAACACTCACCCATTGAGTCTCGGATGCCCGTCTATCCTGGGGGGCGCACCATCGCAGTGCGGTGCGATGCCCTCGTCAAAAGCGGATAGCCTGGCATTGTGCACTTGTGCTGCCATGCTCGCGAACTGCGCGTCAAGAGCCCGCAACCGTGCGCAACCAAAGGTGTTGGGCAGCAAATTTTCTGTGGTGCCGTTTCTAATCAAAAGCGTAGGAGTGTACTCGTCCTGCGCGTCTCTTGTTTGCGGTAGCAGACCCCTGATGAGTGATTGAGCCTGAAAGCGGACAGCAAGGTGGCTCGTCAGACGCCGGAACGCAGCTCAGCTGGCTACATTGCGGGAAAAGCCACTCACTGACTCCACAGTTCTCGACATGTTTGTTGAACGGAAATATACCGCATTGGCATCATCAGCGGAAAGACGCTGTGGCAGCAATCCAAGCTTGTCTATGTACGTCTCCCGCAGCAGTTGACCTAAGGCGTGTGTTGATTGCCTCCCGAGATCTGTGAGCTCTCCGAGAAGGCTGAGGAGGAGAAGCGCATGCATGAGCGCGGCCAAGGGTCACCACAGGCCTTGCTCTCACGAGCACCGATCCGGCGCAAGCTCACCATTCCCCAGGAGCGCCAGGAACTGGCCGATCGTGACGATCAGTGTTCTCGGTCCCTTTGCGTATGTCCATCTTGCCGCGCCACGAATCAGGTCCCCGCCAAGGTCCATCAGGTACTTTGGCTGGTGACTTGCCTTTGGCATCGGGAGGTCCTGGCGCAAAGTCTGCCACGGCAGCGGCGAACTCAGAACCGACGTGACAATAGGGCCAAGAAGTCGGGATTGCTGGTTTGGCGTTTTGAAGCCGCGTTCGCACAGGGGTACGTTCGCCATGCCGTACAAGGTAGTGGACTTGCACCAGCTCTAGGCGAGACGGCGGTGCGGTCCATTTCAGACCTTGACGGGTAGCGCCAGGCCCCAGCAAGAGGTCGTGATCTTCGACGACCTTTGCGCTAGTGCTTGCTGATGCTGAAGCTGAAGCCATCTTGTCATGCGGCGGGGACCGACGTCTATCTCGAAGGCTCGTCAGCAAGACACGCAAAGAACAGCGATGTGGATGTTAGAAGGCATGAAGTCCAGCGCAGCGACGAGATTCATTTACTCTTTGAGGGTAGCAAGCTGATGACGGTCCTATACTGCTCTAGGCCCACACAATTAGATGGCTGCTCGCTGATCTCTCGCGCACGTACTCGTCAGCAGAAGGCTGCATTTGCAGGCTGCTGGCTGGCTGGATGATCGGAAAAAGTGGGTGCAGGTTGTTGTGCGGTCGGGGTTAATGTGGACCGAGGGAGTTTATCCACTCGTGATGGTCATGCAGCAGCCACAGCACACAGCGAGCTCCCGAGAAGAGTTCACGTAGCGGCACGCGTCGCGGCGCGACGCCACGTGTCCTGTTATCACCTGCCCAGTCGATGCAGGCAGCCGCACACTGCGCAAGAGACCTTCTTGATCCCGCTGCGGTGGAGGGACCTTTGACTTTGTAGGCAACTCGCTCATAATCAGACTCAAGACTCAAGTGTGAATCGAGGAGGCATTCGACGCAAGGATTGGTATAGAATCGCGTACCTCACACGCCATGATATTGGCCGACGCATCAGGTGCTGTAGCTGCTCCATTCACGCCAAATCGTGAGAGGCGCGACCGGTCAGCCGCATCGACATAATCTACTCCGGATGGCGAAAGTGGAACGTCTTGGTGTTTCGAGTTACATACAGGACACGCGGTGCGGTGCTGCTTCAGCTCCAGGCATGCATGATGGCTGTGTATATAGTCAGCCGCGGTGAGTGGTATATGTATATATGAATATAGCCAGCATGCTGAAGGATGATAGTACATATAGTGACACGGGCAGGGTTTCACTCGCTATCATACGAGTGGTGACCCTCGTGCCTGTAGGTCCGAATACTCGCTGCGCCTTCACCGTAACAAACGTAGGCTGCCGCCCCCATTGCGGTTGCGACGGCTGCAGAGAAAGGACGCAACCAAAAGAGTCACAGTTACGAGTCTCTGCGCGTGCACAGCAGCAGCTTGCTCCGAGCGCGCTCGGCGCAGGCGTTCTTCGACTCAAGTCTCTTAGGGTGAATTCACCCTGTGTGAGCCACGAGTCGCGCACTCCTAGACGATCAAATTCGACGTGCATTCGTGCGCTTCTGATACTTTATGAAGGAATTTTGAATGTCAATCGTAAGTCAACAACAAGTCAGAATCTGAATCTGAATCAGAAGAGCAAGACACGCATATATGCACGACATCCTAGCTACAGCAACTACGCAAGTGGCGAGTAAGGGGTCTCAGTCAACGCTCGCCCTCTTTTGCTGAAGAGCGGCGCTAGCGGATCTCATCGCGCTGATGATCGCTCAGACAGCTAATAATGAAGGATGCTACATCAAGAGTCACGGTGCAAGCTGTTTTGCATTTGATGTACGACTCAAGACTCTTATCAGCGTGCTGTGCTCAAGAAGAATAGTCACGATCGAGTTGAGGGTCACAATTGATGAGACACTCGTGCCCCTCATGCAATCCTGGCTTGCTCTGCCTCACGCAGGCACCGCATTCATTCACGGCGCGAGGGAGCGTCGAATTGCGGGCAGAACCTTAGCAGCCGCCAGCAACACGATCGAGTCGATCCAATTATGGAAAGTCGTGAGTGCAGAAGGCGCACGCCGCGGCAATCGATCACTGGGCATATGAAAGATGCATCTCGTCTGTGAGAAGTGACTTTGGACAAAGCTCCGCCGATGTTAGAGATTCCGTTGCTTGCTTGCATGGACGGATGACGTCCCCTGTCCCTTGCATGGATGAGCTTCACGTGCCCGGCACAACCGGGCGAACAGGACCTGAACGGTCTCAATATACGCACCGACGATGCTTTGATAAGGATGGTATAGCGAGGCCATCAGCACAAGGCGGCGAAGCCTTCTACTTCGCACGCTATACATGGCGTCAGAGAGCAGCCACGGGTGCCCAAGGGTCGTTGATATGTACAGCGTGCATGCTGCCCCCCGGCAACAGCAGCAGCAGCAACTCGTGGACGCGTATGCGCAGCGCGTGCTATGCCATCCCTTGCTCTCTGTACACGGCAGCAGCTGATGCCATACATGTCTGGCGCAAGCATCGCGCGCAGGCATGCATGCAACCACGACGACCCTCAAAAATGCGCTACAGGAGTGGGGAGAGGAGCAACTTGATTGTGACGCTCTAGCCAAGGCAACTTTCGAGCTTCGATTCGATTGGCTGGAATCGGGCTTGAAGAGCCAGAATGGCTCGTCCAGATGCTTCACGCTGAGTGCTGAGCATGGCACGAGGGTGGGGCAAGGGGATAAGAAAGCTAATTAAGGTCCAAGGCATTGGGACTCGCGCTGCCCCGGGGACAGGTCGAAGGGAGGTGCAGTCGCGAGCATCAGCTCAGCAATCGCATCCACTTCCGCTGGCGCGACAAGCCATGACTCGAAGGCGCGAAGGCTGAATGGTGTACGCGGTGGGACTCCTGACCGTTGTGATTGGTAGCGGTGCCTGCCATTCGCATTCGCATTCACGATTCACTTTCACATCTGTGCTAACTTCCAGTCACGAATAAGAAGTAAATGAGCGCGCGCACAAGTATACCACCGCTTGCGAACCTGACGCGTTGAGATGCGCCTCTGCCATCAATCATCTTGCCCTCCTATCTCCCACGTTCATCCTCACCAGCCATTCTCAATTCTAAACCTCTTCTCCTTCTTCCCTCCGCTCCATGTCTCCCTTGCCGCTTACAAATGCGCACAAGATGCTGATAGGGGCTCAGATCTCATCCACTGCGACCAGCACGGGCGCAATGACCGGCTCGACCAACCTTCGACGCCAACGTCCATTTCAGTCAGCTAAGGCAGCGGCTCACGTCAGCAGTAAGCAAGACTCATCGGCAATGGTGCTGGATCCTTTGAGGAGTCCAGGAGACGTACCCCAGACACCGCCGCGATCAACGCATTGGTACGTAAGCAGCCAACCATGGGTCCAAGCCGTCCACATCGCCTCCTTGAAGAAGTCGTGTAAGTTTGCTCGTCTCAGAGCTTTGGTACTCCATCAACTGACATGCACAATCTTGCACAGCTCCTCCCGCAGTGAAAGCGGAAGCGCCATCCAGCGACCTCTCGTACGTCTCGCCATCTCTCAGTGATATTCTTGGAGGCCAGGCCAATGGCTCATGTAGCACCATCAGCGATTGGGAATCGGGCTGCCCGCCTGCAACACGAAGTCGCGCTCTTCATCTTGCCAGAAGGGTATGTGGTACTGGTCGCTCGCGGTGACCATCTCGTCCCATGCTCACGTCGATGGTGCTCATCTTTGATACCGCAGATGTCTAGCTCGGATGATGGCTTTTCAGCTCGAGGCGGTATCAGTCCATCGGAGTGCACCCATGAGGCTGTGGAAGCTTTCGCACGCAGGCGTAGGCTACCCACTCCGACCTTGTCGTTCTCACCGCGCACGGGCTCGCCGGACACGCCCTTGGTCACACCGACGTCTGGACCGATCCCTGTCAGCGCGGAATATCTTCAAGTACAAGCGCCTGGCCGGAAGGGGAAAAATGGCGGCGAAGATTGTCCACCTCGACGTGCGAAGGAAGATGACGAGCAGTCTTTCATGGATCTACGCTACTCGATGCTGCAGCCACCCGTCATGCTTCAACGCTGCCCCGCATTCCTTGTTGGCACCCCCGACACTTTCGGCCTCATCATTGACGACCGCAGCAAGGATCAAGCTTCGCGTCCCTCCAGCTGTTCTTCATCGCGGAACGTTACGATCCCTAGCACCTCAAAATCGACGGACCACGATGTCCCCCAGAGCGACACGTCATCTGCGGACACCGCTGAGCAGTCCTTGGACAGCCCTCGATTGATGTCGCCAATTACTCTACAGCAATTACGCTCCTTTCGCTCTTCTACAACACTTCGTCACGGCAAACGCCCCATCCACGAAGCTCGAGACGCATCTCGACATCCTTATGCCACGCTCAGCGACATGCAAGCAGCCCGCGAAGCTTCCAAGGCCTTGTCCGTCTGCTTGCAACAGCCACCAAAGACGACACCCGAGACCAGTGTGGCATCCATTCTCAAATCTCAAGAGAGCGCATTCGCAGCGGTGCACCAGTCTTGGCTCCCGCGTTTCTCCAAAGGGGATGGTGACGACGGAGCTTCGAAGCCTGGCAGTCAAGAATTCAACCGTCATACCCGCACTAGGCGTGGCGGCGTTGCGCAGCGACCCCGCATGATGCCTCCAGTGCCACAAGTCCCACCCCATTTGCACTACGACAAGCATTTTACCAGGACCGGCGCCCTTCCAGCTGAACGTGCTAGCACCACGCTTCCATACGATTGCGCGCCATCGACCAGCGACGCACAAGACAGCTCTTGGTACTGCATCAACGCCTTACAACTCGATCTTGACGACAGTGTCAAGGCCTTCGACGATGGCAGCACTCCGCTGCCAGACGCACAGCCCCGCCACTTCTCCTCGTCTTGCGCTACCCCGAGACGCGAAGCCACCTCGGACTCGGAAGAGCTGGAGATGCTCGATTCTCCTGAAAACGCACTGCAGAAGCTTGAGCTGCATGGCGCAAGCGCGATGACCAGCGCGGTGGGACTTGGCCTCTCGAGTCCTGTTAGCGAGCACCGTATCAACAATCTCAATGCCCTTTGCCATGGTCGCGCAAATCCGCCACTGGGTAGGCGAAGCTCGCTTGGATCGGAAAACCCAAGACTTATCAGAGCTGACTCTGCTTCGTCCAACAAGCAAGCTTCCTGGATCGGATGTCCAATGTCAGCGCGGATCCAAGCCTATCTAGATTTATGGAAGGGTACGGAACACAGCGACGAGATCCTGCATCAAAGGAACGCCAAGAATCTGCTGGCTTCTAGGCCAAAGACGCCATACCACAAGTTCGCGCACGTTCCACGCGATAGTCTTTCGCTCGCGGCGGAGCGCTTGAGTTCTAGAGCTCGTCGGGCGAGCAGCTCGAGCCTTGAAGCCTCATCTTCAAACACGTCCGTTTCGGACATCTCGCGCTTCTCTCCAATCAGCCTCCTACGAAGTGGTGGCAAAAGCTGCTCTTCAGCTGTCTCGTCCGGCTCAGACTCTGGACGCACGTCGGCACTTCGTCGTTCCGCCGGCGTAAAGCCCCGCAAGCGGGTATCCAGCTTGAACTGCTTGGAGGGTCACTCTGTTCGCGAAGCTCTCAAGGCTGGGCGCCAGAGCGCCAAATAGCTTCTCAAGTGCCCTGCTTTGCTCCTCGAGCGAGCCGAGTATCAGAGTGATCGTAAAGTCCCTGGCGACACTTCAGACGAGGTCAATGCCTCTTACGCCGGCTCCAAAGATCTGGTCAACGTGAGAAAGGCCCGTGCTTAATAGGGTGCGGCTTCCATTTGACTTTCAGTCTCGCCCTTGTCTTCATACCCATGAATCGTGCGCGAGCCCCACGCAGGCTCCGACAGCTGAGAACGCGTCACCACGACTTTATTAAATTTGCAGATTGTCAACTACACCTACAGATATATACATTCCCAATCGTTTTTACACCGCAGCGAATCGAATTGTCGCAGAATCGCGACTTATCTACGAGAATGACCTTTGCCTCCACCCTTTGTGTACTTGGAGTTGCCGTTTCCACCGCCGTGCTTCTTGCTGTGTTCAGTCTTGTGTCTGCATTCGTCGCACAGCCATGAGCCGTGCGGTGGCTTGGTCATACCGACGCACGCAAGGTGGAACTGTGGTAAAGCGAGGAAGAGTGGCTCGTGAGCTGATCATGGTTCGTCGACTTGACCTACTGTGTCGCGCGTCTCTCCTCAGCAGGCAAGGCAAGAGAAGTCATGCCATACTCACCCATTCCCTCTCACAGTCATCTCCATCGCATCCGATCATATCGCCATAAGAGATGTTGTCGCAATAGCAGTACCTCCTCTCATCTTCTTCGGCCACAGCTGTTGCGTTGCTCGGGTTCTCATCCGCACCGCCCCTGACTGCTCTGGTGACGCGAGCTGAGCGAGCAGGAGGAGCGACAGAGGAAGCATTGCTCGACTGTCCAGTTCCGATCTGACCCGGCATCGCTCCGCCGTTATTACCTGCCCCATGTCCGGCTGTGGAAGGGGCCGGGGAAGCGGACGAGGTGTTGTGCTTGGATGCAGCTGCGGATGATGCAGCAGCGTGAGCCGTCCCTGATGGACCTGGACGCCTCGAACGACTGGTCGATTGCCCTTTGGCATCATCTCCATCGATCTCGCCTTCCCCATTTCCGTCGCGCGAGGTGCGCTCTCCTCGTTCGTTTGAAGTGGTCAGTTGACGGTCAGCAGCTGTCTTGCCATTTGGCGCGTTGGCACCGACGGCACCACCTCTCGGTCTGCTTGTCGATCCTCCTTGAGCGCCAGCAGTCCCGCTGCCTATAGAGCCGTGAAGACTACCCGCTAGCACGCCTCCTGCACCAGCCGATATGGCACCTGCTGTAGCTGCAGCAGCGGCTGCTGCGTTGGCTTTCTTCTTGGCAGCGGACGACGAAGTAGCTGCACTCTTGGTATGTCCAGCGCTCGGTGCTTCATCAACGCCGTTGGGGTTGGCTTTCCTTTTCTTCGGCGTAGGATTGGTTCCTTTGCCTGTGCTTGGAGAAGCCGATGGACCGGCGACCGTGCCAGCAAGGCTTGCTCCCATTATGCCAGCCGCCGCTGCGGCAGAGCTCACTGCGGCTAGCGGACCACTGGGTCCAGCCGACCCACCCAACCGAGCCAGACGAGGAGGCCCGCCTTTCTTCCCCTTCGATCCGTCTTTAGCGGTACCCCCTGCACCAGACTGAATCACTGGGCGCTCGCCTCCCACGATCGGTGTGCCATCTGACAAGTGCCCCGCCAGGTGGGAAGGAGGGGAGTCTAGGTATGGCGCCAGACCAGGGTGAGAGCTGAGAGCCGTTAGCAACGTGCTAATGTGAGATGTGTGCGAAATGATCTGAAAAGCCACAAGATGAGTGAGCATCACTATGGAAGTCGTCGCTGCCACCACCGTCGACGATCTTTGACTCACAGTCTCTGCGGTGTTTACAGCGACTCTGATCTTGTCTTCTCCTCCCATCTTATATGCGCGCGCTTCCTCAGCACACTCCTTCAGAGCCAGCAATCTCTCTCCCTGTGACATGTCTTGTTGGCTGATGGCGTCGGACAAGTGGGACAGTCGAGCAGTCAAGCCTGCCAAGTGGCTTCCTAGCACGGCATCCAGTTCCCTGAGATCGGAGAAGCTCCTGGTGAGGTCGAGGGGCAGGGCATCCAGAGCGTCGGCGTATGCTGCCAAATTGGCAAACAAAGAGCTGTCTTGCGCGTCTACTGGAGCTGAAGCTGTCGCTGGAGTCGATGACGAAGGTCCAGCTAGACCTGCTCTGGCAGCTTGAGACGGGAATGGCCCAGCGCTCATGACGGGAATGGTCACCAGTGAGGAGGATTGGGACATGCGGCTACCACCCGAGATGTGTGGACTCTGTGTAGATCGAAGTGACTTGATGCTGGGGAGACCAAACGCCTAGCTGCAGCGAGATGGGTCATTGCATGTGTCTGCGATGTCGGTGGACGGGAGGCACCTCGTATGTAACGCAACGGCCACAGCTAGGCAGGTGGAAAGGCGGTGTTTCATGTGCGCGCAGTCACGCCTCGCGCACTTTCCCCCCGCCAAGTGGGGTGGTCTGCCGTACGAGAGCGCGCGCCCGCGGGTCTTCCACCGGGTCACGATCGAGTAGCGCAATCATTCACTCATTGACGATCCGGACTCACGGTCTTCAAGCGACCACCTCTTTTGTGATGGCTGCACACTCGTTGTTCTGGACAAGAGAAGTCACGGACCATTAGTTGTTTCGCACTTCCTCTGCAGCGTCCTTGTGCGCTCCATTGAGCGTAATTGCTACCATGGCTAGTGTACGACTCTTCGCAGACGCCTTGCGGCCCCGAACGTCCAGCTTCTTCTTATCATGCCCCACCGTAGCAGCTCACAGAGGCGTCAAGAGAGGACTGGTCAAGAAGCAGGAGACACAGCGCGCGCATACGCGAGAGAGCCTGGAGAGGCGGTTGAGCATGCAGGCTGGTATCAGAACGGTCAATGAGAGGGGAGGCGCAATCAAGCTTGACTTTACAAAGTACAGCAAGCCCGCCGATGGAGCGTTGTACAAAGTAGGAGATACGGAGAGCATCGTCGTTGCTCATGGTCTCTTGTGAGTGTGCGACCCTTTGATACGTCGCGTGTGACACCCATCGCAAATGCTCAAAACCCGTCATGCTTGCAATTGCGGCCCCAATAGCGGAAGCAAGACCAACTGGCGTAGCATAGCGAAAAGGATGGCAGAGCAGTTTGGCGTGGATGTGTATACTGTGGTGCGCAGAAGCCTACATGCTATTCTTGGCTACCAGAAAATTTGGAAGGTTGACCTCTCTTGGCATTCTTCTGCGCTCTGACAGGATCTAAGGAATCATGGCGATTCAGGACATGCGGACAGCATGACATATATGGATCACGCTCGTGACCTCGAAAACTTCCTCAACGACCAGGACTTGACGCAGAACGTGGCTTTGATCGGTCACTCGATGTACGTTGTATGCATGCACGGCTTCGACTGCACTCGCTAAGTAGCTGACGGACCGCAAGCGATCGATGACAGGGGCGGCAAGGCCGTTCAAGCCTTGGCATTGGACCTCGCAGACTTGCCATCGTCCAATAACCCCATAACATCCCTCATCTCGGTTGACATGACACCGGCAAGAGGTGCTCTGAGCCCTGAATTTGCGGTTCGTAGCCCATCCACCTTCAAAAGCAAGGGCCTTTGATACGGCACGAGCTCACTTGACGTTTATCCCATCTGTGTAGAATTATCTGCAGGCAATGATTGACATCGACGCCGCGCGGTGTACCAGCAACAAAGAAGCAGATGAAATGCTGCAAAAATGGGAATCTGTGAGTCGGTGTGTACCGGCCTGCATGACAGATTATTCGCTGACGTTTTCGCCTCGATCGCCTGCAGGATCCAGGCATTCGCGCTTTCCTCCTGACCAACCTGACACAAAATCCGGTCGAGCGGAACATCAAGTCTTTCAGAATTCCAGTACGCAAGATGCAGGACCTGTTGCCTAGCCTAGGAGACTTCCCTTTTGACCCTCCCAGAACGGACGAATCAGGCAAAGGTCAAGTCGATGGCGAGCAACGGCCTAGCCGATCGTGGGACGGACATACTCTATTCATCAACGGTGAAAGGAGCAAGTGAGTCTTGATGCCCATGACCGCTCGTGCCTCAATACGAAATTTGCTACAATGCGAGACGCCGCTTTGCGATTCAAACTGACGTGTCGACTCTATGGCCCATTAGGTATGTCAATCGCCACAATAGACCCATTTGCGATGCTTTCTTTCCCAATGCACAGCATGCTTCTCTCGACACGGGCCACTGGGTGCAGGCTGAGAAGCCATTGGAATTTGCGGAGTTGGTAAAGAATTTCTTGCTCAGAAAACCGTTGCAGGGAATAGAATAGAACGTCATTCTTCTAGGACGTCGTTCTTCTCCTACGCTACCCAAGCTTAGAGTCTGCAGTGGCAACATGCCACTGTTAAATCTTTGGCCGGACAATTCGGACTGAAGGCGCGCTGACCGATGAACATCTCGACGCTCATCATCGATGGTGCACGCCAATACTTCAACGACCACCGACGCGTGAAGGGAAATGTACGTGTCGCGAAAGCAAAAGTAGGACTTTGGAGGCCAAAAAGGCTTCTCTACTTGCGCATGGCCTCCTGTAAAGTCGTGCGGCATCAGACGAGGCGCATCGCTGGAGCCGTGCGCTTCGAGATCTTCTCCGATGGTCGTACGCCGCTTCATGCTCATAGCGTCCGCTGCTGCTCGAGCAGCTCAATGAACAGAGCCACATTCTTCGCCTTTGTCTTTTCGAGCTTATTGTTGGAAAGACGAAAGAGAAATTTGAACTTGTGCGTCTTGTTCAGCGTGGCCCAAAAAGCTTTGGCCTTGGGATGATCATCCAAAGCCGCTTGGAATTTGGCATCCGGTTCCATCCCCTTTTGTCGGTATGCGGCATCCCACCTGCCATCTTGTTTTGCTCTCTCGACCTCTCGCAAACCTGCTTCGCGCATTCGACCGGCCTCTGTCAATCTGGCCACATGGGCTATGTTCACTTGAGACCAATTGCTGTTCCTTCTCCTGGGGGTGAAGCAGCGCTCGGCGTAATGCTCGTCGTGCGGCTTGCCTCTAGAGTCTATCCAGCCATAACACAACGCCACGTCCAGCGCTGCAGCGTAATTGACGTGCTTCGAGTTCTTTACTTGTTGATCCTCTTTGCGGACAATGAGAAGTCTGACGCCATTCGCATCGTCTGGATGCTTGCTGAGCCAATTCTCCCACTGCTTCTTGGTCAAAGGTCCCAACAAGGCTTTGTTCGCGTATGCGCTCATTGCACGCCTCGCGTTTGGTGACGAGCGAAGACGCTCCCACTCCTTGCAAGCGATGATCGAGATGTTAAGGATGGCGATACGGCGGTGATGGCTGAGGGTAGGAAACAGGATGGGCAAAGACAGGAGACGTTCGCCTCCGCAATCTCAGCGCAAGCGCTTGGGTCATCCGCTAGCTCTTCGTGGATGCTCATAGACAAGTCATGAGCACAGTCACGAGCGGTGAGTACAGCATTCAGCCTCTCATCGAGTCCGAGTACAGTGATGTGGGCAGTAGGAGTAGTCGTGAGTATAGCTGCAGCGAGCGAATTACAAGCGCTTTCAAACGAGGCTGTGCGGTGGTGTGGAATTGAATTGTTATACAAGCGTCGCGCGCTCACAACGCGGCATTGCGACAAAGTTCGAGCCTATTTGATTTAATTCCTGGAATTGACTTGGACGCGATAAGGTTTGTGATCGTCTCTATTGACTTGTACCACCGCTTGCCTCGGCCCGAGCGTGGCGCAGGTCTGTGTACACCGGGCGGTACTATGCCGCAAAAGCGTATCTATCCTATGCTGAGGCAGAGGTATAGAGCGGGACCCAATAGCGGCCGGCCCCTCTGGACGAGTATACACCGCCGGTATGCAGATTCCGCCTGCTGCAAGGACCCTCCTCGCCCTGCTGCACCCGCACGTCCCTCTGCTGCTGCTGATGATGATGATGATAGCCGTGATAAATCGCGAACATCTGTGCATGCACAAGTATCACCATCGATCAAGTCTCCACCAGAGTATCGCAGTCGCATCCGCACAGAGTTCATCCGATGCTGTTCATTTAACCACCATCACCCCCGTCCAACAGCATTTGCTCCTACTCGAACTCCTCGAAGGACGTCGTTCGCCACTCTTCAGCCTTACGCAGAGCTTGCTAACACCCATCTCAAGCAAACCCCGCTGAACACGCTGTGAGCCCAGTCCGCGTGGTCCTGCTACAGGCAGAGCTGGAGGCGGATACGCTGCCCGCATCCCAACGTCCCGTGAGCCTGTCCACCCTCACTCTTTTGCCGGACCAATCAGCCCTTCGACCTCAAAGCTTCTTCGCTGGACAGGCCCCAAGCTTACTTGCCCCCACCTTCCCGCCACGCCACGCCACGAGCATGCCGACCGACTCCTTGACCACTCCACAAAGGCCGGCAGGCTCTTCACGTATTCGGACCATCTCTTCCGCCTCTATTCGCGGTCTGCGATCACTAGGCTCTCGAAATTCCTCGAGCACGAATTTGAGTTCGAAAGCCCAGACGCAGACGAATGCGGCAGATGCTCCGCCTGTCCCTGCCCTTCCTACAGGTCGCACGACACCAGGCGGCCTGACTGGCGGGTCTACTACTGCGGATAGCCCAAGTCGACCTTCCACGACCAATTCCTCTGCTAGAACGTCTGTCGAATCTTTTGAAGTGGCCGCGCCGAAGTCAAAGAGCGCAAAAGCAACGAAGTCTAACAGTGCAGCCGCTCCTTTCCCAAGTCTCGCACGGACAGCCTCGGTCAGTCCTACTCAAGTGAGTGCGCGTAATAGTGGGCAAATTCATAGCAGTTACAATTGTGCTCGGACAAGAAGTGTTCAAAAATTCTCAATGCGTAATCCGACCTCGATTTGCAGCCTCGACCTGGTCACCCTGGCAGCTTGAGCGTCTCGCAGTCTGCAGCGCTCAAGACGTTTGAACAGGAGCTGGGCCGATTGGGTGCGCTGCCTATAGGATATGAAGCGGATGCCACAGAAGAGGAGAAGCTGTGGGCTCAGGTCACACTGACGTGAGTGGAGCGCGCAAGAGCTGAGCATGATTGGCTGTAGTGTATTGCTACGGCTTTATTTATGTGACGACGGCAACTCATGCAAATGTTGCTCCACGTTGTGCCCTAACAGCCGTTACCTGCGGGCAAGATCATGGAACGTCAACAATGCTCTGACGATGTATAATGCCACACAAAAATGGAGAACCTCGCAGAAATTGAGCGACTTGGTGGACCCCTCCTCTTCGAGCTACTTCACCTTTGATGAGAGAGATGCAGTGGCGGAGGCTGGTTGGTCGATGTACTTTCACAACACCGACAAGCTCGGCAGGCCTATCTTTGTCCAAGGGCTCGCGGGTCTGGATACTGTCAAGCTGCTCAAAGCAACGACGCCAGAGCGTATCCAGACAAACTTCTGCTGCACCCTGGAGAAGGCATGCCAAACGAGATATCGCGCTGCGACGCAAGCCAGGCGCTCTCTTGGCGACGCCACAGCTCTTATAGATGGTCGGTCTTCGCAAGTATATGGCGCTCGCAAAGACCGAGAAGGCTGACTTGTTCACGACTTTGCCCTGCAGACAACTTCATGATTGTGGACATTGGCGGCTTAGGCATGTCAACCTTCTGGGCTTTCAAAGGCCAGCTTCAAGGCCTTCTGGCCACGCTCGACGCCAACTTTCCCGAGCTCTCGGGGCGCGTGCAGATCATCAACGCGCCTTGGCTCTTTAGCAGTATCTGGGCTTATATCAAGGGCTGGCTGCCCGTCGGCACAGTAGATAAGATTGACATTCAAGGAGCGGACTACAAATCTACGTTGCTCCAGTACATTGATGCGGACCAGCTGCCTGCTTTCTATGGCGGAGCGTGTCGATGCAGCGAAGGGTGCCAAAAGAGCGACGTTGGTCCTTGGCATGAGTCGTCGAGTACCAATCAGTCGGGTAAAGACCCCGCGGAACCGGACGCCCCTGGAGTCGTTCCAGCTCAACAGGCACCCAAGGCAGCTTCAGTCGGTAATGTGGATCAGCAAGATGGAGAAGCCGCACCCTCATCACTACCGAACATCATGACCAATGGAATCGCAACCTCATCGGATGCGCTGGCACCTAATGGTGGCCTGAAGAGTGCTGCACCTCCCGTTGCAGCTCCCGTTGACGTGGAAGTCGGAGCGGCAGCATCTCCAACTGACCACGTGGGTTCGAACTCTTCTTGAAGAAGCCCTGCTATCGATTTCAGGCGTGATTGGCTACTCCTCAAGTCGACGGACGTCACTTTCGCCTCTTTGACCCCATTGTGCTCCTTGCTTCGCCTTCGTGATCATCTGTCGATAGCACACATCAGCAACAAGTTTCTGCGTTCAATTCATCTCCCTACCCTCTCTTCCACAGCTTTGCACTACTCGTAGATCACATGGAACCCGAAATTGCATGCGATGCCAGAATGATACCGTTGTCGAAGCTAGCTGAAAGAGAAGAGCTTGCACGGCAGCCATGCGAATTCGCCTTGCTTTAGAAAAGCTTGCCCATCGCACTGTCACCGCAATGGAATCAATAAAGACCAGCAGCAGCAGAAATGATTTATGAATGTATGGCGACTGGTGCTGATGTCCAGAAGCGGGGAGACTCGTGAGGATATGGCTGGGCGGTTCGTGCCCCTTTCCCCCGCCAAACATGGGTCGCGTTGCGCATTTCGTGTGGCGAATTCGCTGTTGGTGCCAAAGCTCGCGCGTGACTCGTGACTGCACACAGCCCATCCCTGCTGCGATGCACCGCGTTGGCTGCCGACCAGGCAGCAGCGCGTGGCCGCACCATAGGTGCAGTGTAGCATGCGGCAGTCGTCAGGAACGCAGCAAAGCTTGTCGAACGCGCGCTGCACCGATGTATGCAGCCCGCACCCACGGTGACGGCGGCGGCGGCGGCGGCAGCAGCAGCAGCAGCAGCGCTCGTGACTCACGACGAGCTCGTCTGAGCAAAGTCAAGTTCGTGAGTCGCGAGTCCTCGTGTGACTGCTGTCGGTAGCTATGAGAGGCTCTCATTTGCGCGGCTTTCCATCTTTCTTCCTGATCTCTCATACCCAAGCTTCAAGTCGCGCACGACCGACTTGCGATCCATTTCTCGAATCTCAGTCTCTTTCTCTCTCACACATTCTCTGTCTCGCCTCTTCGAGCTTCGACACGATACGAATCCCTCTGCTCCAGCCCCAGCCCCAGACCCAGCCTTTGCACCACGACGACCTCGCTACATTACTCGCTTTGCCTTTGCCATCGCCAACTGTTCGACTCAATCTGACTAGACTCGACGCTTGACAACGGCTCCTCGCCTAGACTGACTCTCAACCATCCCACCTCTTCCTCTCCAACTCTCTAGTGCGATCAACACTTGCAATTCCTCCTGCTACGTAGACGCTTGGACGGCTTTGCGCTACCACTCCACGCCACAGCCCTGGCTTCGGCTTCTATCTGTCAAGATCCAGATCGGGCCACGTCCTTCGAACGCCCAGGTCTCAGTGACTGGCCATTACGGCTTCAAGAGCGAAGTCAACTCGATCTCTTCCTGGGCAAACTCTCACAGCACACGCTTCTGACGAGTGATTCGAGCTCGACCAACCAAACCGACAGACAAGCTTCCTTCTGCTCTTGTACCGCTTTTGTTCCGCAGTACAATTACGTTGCCTGGTATCCCTCAATTCCATCGGAGTGCCACGGTTCTCCGTTTCATAGACACGCACCCGCAATTCAGCTTGGTCGACCTCCTTTGCATTCACATCTCGCTGCTTCGCACGCCTAGCACGACCTCGTCTCGACGTCCAACTCGGTCCCAACTCCCACCTCTCGAGGCTTGAGAGTACAGCACATTGCCTTTCACGAACCACCTACTCTCAATGGCTTCTCCTGCGCCTGCAGCTACCAAGTCGGTTCCGCTAACATGCTCGGGTCACACACGACCAGTTGTCCATCTCGAATTCTCGGATCTGCAAGATGACGGGACGTACACTCTGCTCAGCAGCTGCAAGGACGGCAATCCGATGTTGCGAGACTGGCTCGGAGATTGGATAGGCACATTCTTGGGTCACAAGGGAGCCGTTTGGAGCAGCAAGCTTTCAGGTGGAGAGGCGAACCGAGCTGTGACTGGAAGCGCAGACTTCTCCGCCAAGGTGTGGGACACGTTCTCTGGTCAGTGCTTGCAGACTTTCCCGCACAACCACATTGTACGCAGCGTAGCTATCAATGCGGCCGGCACGAAAATCTTGACTGCTGGTCACGAAAAGAAGCTTCGGCTGTTTGACCTGGCAAAGCCCGAAGCTGAGCCTAGCTACTTGGTCAATGCTGCCAGCGATGCAGAAGCTAGCAAAGGTCTGGCGCATCCCAACAACATCAAGAGCATTGTCTGGCAGCGGGGCCAGGGAGAGAACACGGCTATCAGTGCGGGAGAGGACAAGACGGTACGGTGGTGGGATCTAAGGACAATGACCAAGTCGAGCGAGATCTCTTTCACGGATCCCATCACTTCGATGGAAAGATCGCAGGGCTGCTTGGGAGAGCTGCTTACGATCACGTCGGGCAAGAATGTCTACTTTATCGATGCGACCACGCGCGAGGTGCGCAAGCAGCACCAACTCTCACTCGCCCCTTCTTCGGCCAGCGTGCACCCTGTCAATGCGGACAAGTTTATTGCTGGCTTTACGGGGGACGGGTGGGTCAGGATCTACGACTTTGAGACAGCCAAGGAGCTAGAATTGCACAAGGGCCACCACGGCCCTGCGCACGCTGTCAGCTACTCGCCCGACGGAGAGCTCGCTGCGAGCGGCAGCGAAGACGGTGAGCGCGCCTGCGGAGGAAGTCTGGCTCAGGTGCTTGATGTGATACTGTGCTGACGCTCCCACAAACTGCCTCCTGGCTCAATCAGGCACGATTCGGCTTTGGCAGAGCAATCCAGGCAAAAAGTATGGTTTATGGCAATGAGGTGGCGCTGAGCTTGTATTTGCACGAAAAGCGAAAGCAGAGGAGGTCGAAATAAATGCACACAGGTCCACGATTGTGACATCAATGGGGGGGGGGAGGGGGGGGTACAGCGCTAGAAATGCGGCTCTTCAGGTATCAAAAGTCAGGCGTAGCATCATTGTTGTTGATATCTTGACTCGTCGATGATGGCCTGATTGCCCGCAAACCGACGAGAATTGTGTAATGAAAGGAAAGGGCAGGTCGCGCAGGTCGCAAGTCTCTATCACGTGATCACATTTCGCGTCACCCTTTCCGCGCAAGCGCGCTTGTGATGGTGGTAGGTTGCGTGTTGTTATTGTCTGTCGATCGATCTCTGTGCGCGGGCGCAGAGTCAGTCACGAGTAGAGAGTTCATCAATCAGAGCGCAGCAGCCGTCGGACATTCACATGTACAAGATTTCAACATGGATTGACGAATCCGCGCACACATTAGCAGCAGTCGGAGAAGGAAGCGCTTGATGTGTCTCATCTGAAAGACGCAGGTCTCTAAATTCTCCCTTCTGCACCTATCGCTCAGCAAGTCTCCTCTCACTGATCCACTCAGAGGCTTCGAAAGGCGGGCATTGCGCCAAGACGAGAGAGGAAGCTTGCACCAGCGCGAACGAGAGAGTTGCATATGCCTGGATCAAGCCCTCATCGTCCGACGCACCGACGGGCAAGTTCAACATCGACACGAGCAGGTAGCTGCTACATTTGGGTCGGTCCGCTGGCTTGAAGGTGCACCACATAGCGCACAAAGCGTGTCACCGCCTCTTGTGACTCGCAGCGCGAACTGTTGAAAAAATGGCTTCGCACGATGCAATGCTGTAAGTGTCTCGATGATGCGTCTTGGCGCACCTCGATCACTGCAGCGCTGCCAGCATACACAATGGTGCAGTTGACACTGACCGCTCCCTCCCCTTCGCCTTCCAAAAGGTCCTTTTCCACCTCGGAGGAAGAGATCCGTTGGCTCAAGAACAAGGTGGCAGAGCTGAACGATGCTCTGGGGGACTTGCAAACGGAGCTGGCTGACTTTGCGGAGAGCAGCAAGGAGGTGGAGAAGGAGATGGACAGGGAGTTGCAGGATGCTTACAAGAGAGAAAAGGATGCGCGCATACAGGCGGAAAAGTCGCAGAGCGTGGTCGAAGATTGGAAGGTGAGCAAGATGATCTCGGCGTGATGAGTTCGCTGGATTGGATTGCATTTGTGCTCGAGACGAATGTTGACTCTGCATGCACACATTGCAGGCAAAATACCAAAATGCGTTGGCAGAGCACAATCGGTATCACGCGGAGACTGAAAAGGAAACGGCAATGGTCAAGGAGCAGTTGAAGAGGTACAAAGCAACGATTCGCGACATGGAGGTCAGCAATGAGGAACTGGAAAATGCAGAGCGGTGAGTACTGCACAAGAATGTTTACGCCGCGTATGGTCGACTCTGAGCCCGGATCTGTGCCTTGCTAGTATGATCGCGTCCTCATTGCATGAGCGGGAAGCCAACTACAACAAAGCCCTAGAGCGCACAGTTCTGTTGGAGGAGGAGCTCATCGCCAAGGGCCGTCTCGAAGATGATAATCAAAGACTCAAAGACGAGATTCAAGGTGGGTGAAGTGACCATGGAGATCGAGCAGCACCCTGAGGCTGAAACTCACCTGTCGACGCTTGCAGATCTCAGTGAAGAGCTCGGAATAGCGCGAGAGAAGCTGAAGGAAGTACAAGCACAAAATGCCGCGTCAAGCAGGGCAGTGTCACGCGCAGGCAGAGAGACTCCTGTCGAGGGCTCTGGCAAGCCTAACGGTGACATGAGCATCGCCGAGCTGATGTCCAAGCCGCGACCGAGCACTTCGACGTCAGTGGCCAGCTCTACCTCTAGACCCTCCTCGCGCGTCAACGAGCGCTTGTCTCCAATCCAAGGATCCGTCAACACTCGCCCCCCTTCCGGTGCTCCGCTTGGACCGCCAGCGAGCAGCGCAAAGCTGAGAGGTACCGTCACTGGACACGTGCGACGGTCAAGTCGCGACATTGGCGCTACCTGCGGTGAAGATAGCCCTAGCTTGCGGGCATCGCGATTGAGACGAGATCTGCCTGCCACATCGCGGGTCGGCTTCACACCTGCCAGAACACGCGTTGGGAGCACAAGAGTTTTAAGCACAGCCGAGAACCCGACGGGCAGCAGTAGCAAGGGAATGATGCAGGCCATGCAAGCCAGGATGAAAGCGCTCGACAGCCGCATCAGTTCAGCTAGGAACATGAGCAAGGTAGCGCCGGCCAGTGAGCTTGATAGAAGTGCCATTCCCCGACCTTCGAGCAGATTGGGTGAGAGTAGAGGTCCAGGTGGTCTTAGCTCGCCGGGTCCCTACACTACACCTGCGCCCGTCCGAACCAGTCGCGCTAGCTTCGATGGACGAGGATCGCAGAGCGGCATTCCAGTACCGCCAACGGGCTTGTCCAAGTCCACAGCGCGCCGACCCGGTTCGCGGCTCTCGCAAGCGCCAGGCGGTTCTGCAGCGGACTCGCCTCCACAGCACACCATCCCTCTGCCTCGCTCCATCACCCCACTTCAAAGACCATCGAGCCAGAGCGGACATAATCACAATAACGACTTGGACTTGCTCAACAGTGCTCCAGAGGCCAAGACGCCACCAGGTACCGCAGCTCGAGTGCGTAGGGTCAGCACGACAACCAGACCGGGTGGGGCGAGTGCCTCTATACGGCCCAGGGGGAGCACACTTGCCGCCGCATCTGGTGCAATCCCAAGACCTTCTACAACAGCCACAGAAGAGGGTGCCAACATTTTGCTAGAGTCTTCTGCCCGCGTCAGGCAGCACGGATCTAGGCCTGCGAGCGGAGCGATGCGCTCGGGTCCTCCCGTCAGCTGGAACAACACTGCTGGACGTACGCGCAGCGGTTCTTTTGGTCAGCGATGAGATTTACACGATTACGAGCTTTTAATCTTCCCTTCTTTGGCCTCTCAACTTTGTCACCGAGACCCTTCAACTTGAATAGCGCGCTGAGCAGTCATGTTCCGCGCAATGATGTACTTTTACCCGCGGATTCGCAGACTCGACACCAGTCAGCAATCCCTTCGCAAAATTGTGAGGATTTGAGTGAGGAGCGTAGAGTAATTGTGGCTGAAGGATGCTCGGCCGTGATGTCTTGATTCACTCGCCCTTGATCCCTGTGTCAAGCTTGGGTTCATGAGAGCCAATACTGACGACCTGAGGGAGAGCGAGAGGATCGACGTTCGAGAGAATTCCAGCGGAGGAGGCTTGCGCGGCGTCTTGAAGGCCGATCAAGCGAGCGCCGGGCGCGACGACGCGCTAAATCACGTGAATGTACCTTGTAAATCTCCGAGCGAGCTGGGTCTACGCTTAGATGGACGCCTTTGCTCGTCAAGAGGAGGTGGACAGCTGATATACGCTCTAAAGAGATACCAGCAAGCTAGCAGAGCATCGGAGCATAGAGTAAGCAAGTCTGTATATCACTGACTCAAATCTGAGCCGCTGGTCAGCCTGAGCTGCTGACAAGAGACGGCACACGCTGGCTCCAGCCCCCGGCTCTCTTGCCTAGCTGCTCCGCTGCTTCCCGGGCGTCTTCCTGCAGCAGCGGCGGACATACCGGTAGCGGTACGACAGCGGGGCTAGACACGCTTCGCAGACAGAGCCTCTTTTTTGCCTCGACCGGCAGGCATCGTGCAGCTAGCTAGCTAGCCGAGCGCATCTTTGTTGTGTGTCGCAGCAGATCTCCTCATCGAGCTGCTGGACCAGCGGCTCTGAGCACAATCGTGAATTGGCGAGCTTGGAGTTGCTGAGAAAGAAACAAAAGGTTGGAAATTGGATGGTGTGAAAATCCAAGTCTTGAGTGGTGAGTGTGAGTGTCGCTTGTGGACCCGCTCGGTCAGGTCAATCGAGGTTACAGTCACGCTCACGAGTCGTGAGTGGTGAGTGCGGGCAATTGCTGTTTCAGGTGCAGTGTGAGTTGTCGTGTCTGCTGCTGCAGCAGCTTGGTGTGACTTTTGCAGGCACTGCTGACGATCACTGTAGGCGATTTTGCCCTTGTTCTCCGGTACATGTACCCACAGTAGGTGGTCAAGATTGTGCGCACGCCCTCGGGCAAACCCAGCAGCAGCCTGCTGGGCCTCACGCAGCTCCGACGGAGACAGAATTCTTGATCGTCCCTTGTGGAGACACGAGTCTCTCTCGACCTATAGTGTGAGTCAGTCAGCAATTCTCCTGAATGCTGTACTCGTAACATCCATCGACTCACCTTGTCACATTCAGATTCATCCTGGGCTGTATGCTACCCTGACACTTGCCTTGAGAGAGCCTTTCGCCTGGGCTGCTTCTTCGATCAGAGGCTCCTCGGACCATCGCATCCATCACCGAGCCATGTCGAGGTAAAGCCAACAGACGCCCAGCCGTACCTTATCTCGACCAACGAGCAGATCACCCGACAGTTGGAGACTTCTCCGTGCGACCGGCGCACGACACACATCATGCGTGTCCCGGCATCTGGCTACAATGCCACACTGGTCGATGCAGGGCCGTATACTGGCATGAATGCCAACGAGTGGGCTGCGGATGTCTTCGTACCGGATGCCATGCCGCAAATGGTGGCCAATGCTGTCGCCGTGATTGTTGGGCTGTGGGAATTCATCGTGGGCGTGCCGGGAGAGTATGTCATGTGAGTCGCAGCTAGCCGCTTCATAGGGGATGCTCGTGCTCAGTAGGCGCGCGGGAAGAGCTGCCTTGCTGACTATTCTCCCACGATTCTCTGACATGACTACCCTCTTCGGCGGCGCTTTCGAGTAGCTGGCGAAGAATATTCCAAGGACCGTCTGGTCGGAGCAGTTTTGCGCCATGGACAACGCTGGCGCTCAGGTATTTGATGCTGACCCTATCAGTCTCGCAAGCATTCGGCACCTGGTCGACCACGATGAAGACGGTCGCCGCTTGCAAAGTAGCCAGTGGAACGCTAGGTGCTGCTGGTCTTTTGCTGAATTCGGGGACCAGCTTTGCCGTCGCTTGGAGAGCACAGGCTGTAGCCCGTGGGGTCATACAAACCGCGGCAGGATTGGTGCTTGTTCGCCTCACCATTGCAGGCCTCCTGGTGAGTGTCAGAGCCACAGCTGCGTTTGCCTCGACAATCGTCCGTTTGCTGAGACTCGCCAACGTATTGCTCAAGGTCGTCGAGCTGTTCCTAGTCTGGTTCACTGTGCTTTTCCCCAGCACTCGTAACGCCATCCAGACGGACCGCCTGCGGGCAGGTCGCTGCGTCTCGCGCACCGCGGCAAGCGGGACAGACCAGATCGTTGGAAGGCCTCCCGAATATCGCATTCTATTGATCTGCTACTATGGTACGTGTTGATGATTCCTTGATGACCCTTTCGACACGACTGACGGAGGCCCATGGTGCCCGCTGCATTTCCCCAAGGTGTGACAATTCTCTTCAATTTTGCCTGCTTGATCATCGTGTGTGTCGCGCTCAGAAGGCTTGCACGGCGATCACACGGGTTCGCAAGATTCATTTCAGAGTGAGTCTGAAGGGCAGTTGTAAGATCGGCCACGCAAGTGTCCAGCCCTAGCTGACGTTCGTCTGCCCTATTCAGAATGGTCCTGCACTCTGTCTTCTTCTTCCTGGTCTCCGTTCTGTTGCTCACACTAGGCTTGATTTGGATCGCCATCGACGAGTACGCTGGCTGGATCTTTTGGCCAGCCTCTGTAATTCAAGCAGCAACGATGGTGCGCATCCTCATCTCAGAGCAGAATGCTGCGCGACGACCACTCGACACTACGTTCATGGAGCAGAGCGCTTATCCAAACACTGGCGGTACGACAGGCCGTGGGCCTACGTATGGAGCTTATTTCTCCAGGGGCGCGCCAGTAGCTGACCACATGCGCGGACCCGAAGCGCCCGTGGAATATGCTACAGGAGATCACGCTCAGAGAGGGGAGACTACGGTGCAGTTTGCGGACAGGTATGGTGGGCCGCTTTCCGCCACAGGGATGCTGTCACGCAGAGGCGGTGGACGGGCACCTCCTATCCTCAATCCGCTGGATAATCTTGGTCAAGCATTCTCTCAAATAGATTCGCGCATGGACATCGATGAGCAAAGCTTCGATGATGGAAGGTCTTCGCTGCGTCACTCTGAGGGTGCCCGAGCGGACGGAACGAGCGGGTCTCGGCGGACCGACAGCATTGCGCTTTCCAGACTCGATGCTGGCTCGTCGGCACCCAAGCTTGGCAGTGGAGGGTCAACGGCGCCATCACCAATCTCAGCTGGCGCGTACCCGTACCCGCGGCCATGGGTACCGCCCTCTGATGACCACCTGAATATGGATGCCGAACCCAAAGTGGCGAACGCAATCCCTGCGCCTCCCCCAGAGCCTCGGTCCCAGCCTCAAGTTCGACGCTCGAGCTCGTTCTCGGTGAGGAGCTCCGACGAATCTTACGATAGACCACAAATCCAAACATACCCAGGCTAGCTGCTGTCCGCCTGCTCGCTCCTACACACTTGGAGCCCTACCTCTACTTTACTCGCTTTGTACAACACACCGGATGACCCTTGGTCTTCTGGACGACTTGTAGCTCCTACTCTCGCTGGTCCGCACCTTCTGCTGTACTATACGGCTACGCAGTACACATTGACTTTCATCGTTCGACGTCTCAACCTCTTTGGAATCGGCATGCTGCGTAGTGTCGTCTACTCGCTTTCGAACCACAAGTGCCAGCCAAGGAGCGCCAAAGGCTGGAAGAGCGGCGCATCTCCTGCGAAGGCGTCGGCTGCCTCCCAGGCTCCTTGGCTGCTCCCATCGCGATAGTCACTGCCTCTCATCTTGTTTGCTTCGACCTTTGCGTCAAGCACGGAATTGTTGGGACTGGGTTCTTCCAGCAAGGCGCGCGCTATGATCCACCCTGTGGAGAGGAAGAAGTTTTGCGTGATGAGCAGCTGGCTCGAGCAAAAATGTAGACGCCTCTCACGTAGAGGTACCCAGCACCAGCCATCGCATTTCTGAGGTTCGCGCACCTGAACAAGACACGGAAAGGTCGTATCAAGCACACTGATCGTCAGCTATTGCGTCGTAGGGCCAGCTTTGTGTATGCGCTCACTTGAGGGACGGGTCGATGGCCAGATTCGCCGTAGACGTCAGGCAGCCTCGCGTACATAAAGACGGTGAGATAATGCATGAAATCCTCGTCCCTTTGGGTACCACGCATACGTGGGGATTCGGCAAGAAACAGTGCTTTGCCGCGAGCGTGTGATTGGCCACCAATGAGTGCACTTCCTTGACCCAAGACCAGATCGGGATTGGTAGTCTGATCGATGATGAGGCCAGTTTCCTCCTGAACTTCGCGTATCGCGCACTGCTCAAACGTCTCGTGAAGCTCCAAGTGTCCACCTGGCAGCTGGATCGTACCGGCGCCGTGTGACCCTTTGCGTTTACCAACCAAGACTAGTCCCTGAGACTCCACCAGACATCCGACACCCACGCGAGGTATTGCGTAGGCAGAAGAAGGATCTGGTCCGGTTTGGTCCATGCCCACCGTCCCTGGAAGCTCGCATTCAGCTCGCCTTCGTTTCGTCTCGGCTGGGCCCATCTTGCACCGCTGTCAACATCTATGATCAACACCTGCGACGCTGATCCTGTTCTTCATCGACAGCGGGCGAGCGTATTTGAGAGATGCTGACGACGTCAAGAAGCATGAAAACACAGCAATGACAATGAATCAGAATGATTCGAGAGTCACCGTCGCGTTCAGTCACGAGTCTCGAGTTTGAGTTGAGAGTCGCTGGGGCAACGACGGAATATTCTAGACTCTCACGCGCCGTCGGGTACGGCTGATGCATGCATGCACGCAACTCGTCGTTGCTGCTGGCGCCCAAGCGCGTGCGAGGGAAAGCGAAGGCTTGGAAGGAAGGTCTGCAGTTCATCGCTGCCAAAGGAGGAGCGGAGCGGGTGGGTGCGTGCAGACGTGATCCCTGTGTATTTAGCGCTCTCTGGAGCCTCTCGCGCGGGCGCGGGCGCGCGCGCGCTGGGTGTGCTTGAATGGCAGCTAGATGAATCACTGAATGGAATGGCAACAACAGTCCGAGTGCTTGGTGGACGACGCATTCATTCCTCGTCATCCATCAACTCCAAAGCCCCCATCTATACTTTTCAGCTCGTTTCAGACGTCATCCATTCTTCCTGCCGAAGTTCTTGCGCCCTAGACATCCCTTCATCAACACTTCCTAGTCGCATATCATCATGGCAGCTGCCGTCGCGACCGCCCACACCCCTCTCGAGGGCTATGTCGTGAGTAAATGCCCGATTTCGAGCCTCCAGTATGGCACATCATTCTCTCGCGCACTCAGAATTCGAGCTTCGTGTGACGCATCTGACGCTCTACTCGCTTTCATCGCAGGGTTTCGATTCCATCACCTCTCAGATCGAGGCTAAGCTGTTGAAGCGGGGTTTCGCGTTGAACATTATGGTTGTTGGACAGACTGGTCTTGGAAAGAGCACGCTCATCAACACGCTCTTTGCTAGTCATTTGATCGACTCTAAAGGTCGTCTGGAGGCATACGAGAGTCCTAGAAAGACCACCGAGATCCACCCCGTCTCCCATTGTGAGTCACGACTTGGAAGCCTTGCAGATTGGTGGCCTTCGTGGGTAGGGGCGAAGAAAACCGCATGTTGATGAATGGGCTGCGAGGCACGCATTGTGGTTGCTGTAATTGAGATGGACAGGCATCATGCGGATAGCGCGCACCTTGGTCGGCAAGATTCGGCGAAGGCGATGCTTCGGGCTGTTCGAATTAGAGAAGATAGGCCAGGGTTCGAGGCTTTTTGTGTGCGCTGGACTGGAAGGCTTGTGGGCCAGCAGGGTTGGAACGATGTAGAGCGAGTGGCCTACCAAACGAGAGCAAGCGAGCAATTACGTCTTCGTGGCAAGACCAGTTGCTGACGTATCGCCCGTCTATTGGCATCTGCAGTGGTGATCGAGAACGGGGTCAAGCTGCGCCTAAACATCGTAGACACCCCTGGCTACGGAGACCAAGTCAACAACGATGCTTGCTGGGACCCCATCATCAAGCACATCAAAGACCAGCACAGCGCCTATCTGCGTAAGGAGTTGACCGCCATGCGCGAGCGCTACATTACCGACACGCGTATTCACGTCTGCCTGTTCTTCATCAACCCGTGAGTAGCTCGAATGCGCTGAGGCACGACCTGCTCATGAACAAGCTATTCATAATCTCCCACCTTGCTGACATTGCGGGCTGCCTCATCTAGTACTGGTCACGGACTGCGCCCCATCGACGTGACTGTGATGAAGAAGCTGTCTGATGTTGTGAATGTTGTACCTGTCATTGCCAAGTCCGACAGCTTGACTTTGGACGAGCGCGACCTCTTCAAGGAAAGAATCCGCGCCGAGATGCAGTACAACAACATTCGCGTCTACCCCTTCGACGACGCGGATCTGGAGGATGAGGAGAGGGAGCTCAACGAGCGCATTCGCGTGAGTATGCGTGCGAGTCAGTCAGACTCGAAAGCAGGTCGGGTGGAAAGATTATGATGGGAATGAAATCACTGCAGCGTTCCCGCTGAAGGCAAGTTCTCACACTACCTTTTCTTCTACTGCAGGCTTTGATTCCCTTTGCCGTCGTAGGCTCTGAGAAGCAGGTGGTCATCGATGGCAAGGCTGTGCGCGGGCGCAAGAACAGATACGGAGTCATCAACGTTGAGAATGAGAACCACTGCGAGTTTGTCTACCTGCGCAACTTCCTGACCAGGACGCACTTGCAAGACCTCATTGAGACCACCGCACACATTCACTACGAGCAGTTCCGCTCCAAGCGTGAGTAGCAAAGCTTTCTGATTGCACCTCTGCCTAGACACCTGCCTGACCGCCTCTCGATTTCAACTTTCCCAGAACTGCTCGCTCTCAAAGAGTCCAGCACTCGTCAGCAACAAGCTCAACAGCAGCAACAGCCTAACGGCGTCTAAAGTTGCGATTTCGATTCACCTCGCTTCATCATGATTCACACTTCAGCTTCAGCTAGGCTTTCGACCCGTGTACTGTTTCTCTTGCGTCATGCTCCCGGGAATTTGATGCTCTTCTCTTTGTGAACCGATTACCTTTCACCACGACTCCCTGGCCCTTCAGCATGAACACACGACGCGCGTGCGAGTATGTCCCTCAATGTGAGGACGCAAGATGTGTGATTACAGTGCCTAGTGTACATGCGCAGCGAGCGGCCTTTCGAGATCATGGGTTTGGGAGAAGATTTGCGACGGCGCGAGAAAATAGATTTCACGCGCCCAGAACCACGCGCTCGTCCTGCGAAAAGATGACACAGTCGGTCAGCTTCAGTATCAGATGAGGGAGCAGCGGTCTTTAACGTGCTCACCAGATTCTTGACTTCGGTGTGAAGGTTGCCATACTCTTCGGTATAGTCTTCCTTGACTTCCTTTTTGCCCTTGAGACCAGTAGGGCAGATCATGACGACGCTAGTGGGTCTCTTTGTGCTGCTAGCCGCGCCCAGCTCGTCCTTGCTCTGCACAAAGACGTACGGGTTGTCCGTCTCCTCGCACAAGACTGGGATGTGGGACAAGATGTCCAAAGGTGAAATGTCGCCTGCCATGATCACCAAACCCTTTTCTCCCTTGCGCAGCCCCTTCACCACCTCCTTCACCCCGCGCTTCACGTGCCCTCGCGACTTGGACGCCTTTTTGATCGTTTTGAGCACCCGTTTAGACAGCTTCTTGTGCGCCAATGGGTCTGCGAATGGTACGTATCATGCCAGCGAATCAGCAGATGCGTCATAGCCAGGATGTGGAGGTCGATATGATATGAGGACACTCACGAGCAATGGGACTGATCGCGTCCAAGTTGACGGCCGTTTCATCATCCTCATCATCCTCTCCGGCCACGGCGGCAGCAGCAGCCTTGGCAGCCTTCTTCTCCGCCTTTCTCTTGGCCTTATCATCTGCTGCTCCATCTGTCGCTGCAGAGGCCATGCTGACGTCGCCGAGCGCTGCAGCGGCAGCCTCGGATTGGCGCTTCGCCCTCTTGGCTTCCTTTTTTGATTCGTCCTTGCCCATCCTGGGCCAGCTTGTGGGGGAGTGTTCGGAGAGTCGATCCGGTGAGCTGGCTTGCCAGAAATCCGTCTTATTGGCAAGCAGGTGCTGTTATGGATCAGAGATGTCGGAAGCGGAAGTCAATGAGGCGGGTGCGGTTGCAATCGCGCCGACTGGCTGCAGCTTTCTTCGAAATTTCGATGAGATGGACATTCAAGATTTGAGGCGGGTGGTGTGTATGCACTCGTGACCGTGACTTTTGTTGATGCTGATGAGAAGAAAGCCTGCGTTGCCTCCAGAGACCTGTCCACGTGGGTCGATGTGCTGCTGCCTTGTGCGTCCCGCTAAAGCACACGTCTGCGCGCACAAAGCACGCTACGTGCCAGCAATTTTTTCGCACGCGCCGCACATGCCAAGATGGATGGTCCATCCACTCCGCCGGACACAGGCCTTCCACTTCGAACCCTCACCGCAAAAGAACTCACCCTCTGCACTAGACTCGACCTACGCACCCCAGTGTCGCTGCACCATGATGCTAGGTATCTCTTTTGGCGATAGCTCCAACAATGGCTGAGCTGAAGATCGTAGAGGGGCTTACCCAACAAGCTCTCCAATCACATTACCCTTCAAAGTGAGTACGATTCCCCCAACGTCCTCAGCGGGGGCAGCAGCAGCAGCAGCATGTGCATGCTGCTCGATGGGCGCATTCACACGCCAAAGTTCTCAATGCGCACGCGGCACCAGATGGAAGGGCGTTGATGATCACAGATTACCACTGCCGATCTAGACGCATGAGCAGAGCCCCAAATGCGACGGGGCTTCAAATTATATTACCTGAATCACCTGAGCCTTTCTATCTAGTTGCGCGTTGCCAGTGCGCACCGTCCTTCGCACGCGGTGAGAACAAGCGCTGACCGTTGCACACCCATGTTGACACTCGCAGTATAATGGACAATGGCGATGGACTTCAGGATGAGCGTCACCTGTGGACGTGCTCTTGACTTGCCTTGTCAATCCGTTTGCGTGCCATCCCGGGGTGAGTGTGGAAGCTTCGCAGTCGTATCAGCTGGGTCAAGTTGCGGGCGCAGCAGATGAGCAATGAGGAGAAGGATGGAGGATGACGAACAAGCTTAAACAATCAACAAACTAGAGTCGCAGGCCTTTTGGTTCCTGAGAACAGCGCTTTCTGAATCCTTCTCCTCTCTGTCCCTACGGATCTGGTCACTGCTAAGCAGATCCTCTCGTGATTGATGCATACTATGGAAGCGACGAATGTATGCTGATTCTACTCGTCTTGCCTCCATCAAAGGGCATTGCTTTACAGGCGCTCGCTAGCAAGCGCCCCGTCGGCCATCGCAGGCAATGCTGCCATTCGCGTAAGTAATCGCTAGGACACGGCGCCAGCAGGCCGGGATGCAGTGATGGTGCACAATTATCCCTTGCGAGGGTTGATTGCTGTGAATTACCGACGTGAAACGTGGCTTCCTTCGCCGGGGGTCGCGCTGCCGACAATCTTAGGCTGATTACTGAGCATCGCCGGCCAGTCGAGTCGTCCTCGCGTATACCCAAGTTGTAGCTAGTGTTGGGCTGACCGAGTCTTTCTCGACGTCATCTAGTGCATAGGCTTAGTGCTTGCCAAGAAGGAGGCCAGGTCTGATGACAAGCCAAGCGTGCCGCTAATCAAAGGGTGAGCACGAAGCGTTGTTGCTACCCTTCTCAAATGATGAGACCAATCAAATCACGACGGTCTGCGTACACAACACGTGGCGAAATTGCCCGACTCTAAACCCATTTTCCGGGCATCACTCTGAACCTCTCTAGAGCCTTCGATGAGCATCGTTGCGGATGATACGCGAGCTGACTCACGCTGCGTCGTCTTCTCAGGTGAAAATGCGACAGATCGATTGAGAAGTAGAGCCAGCCTTGCTTTGCGCGTGTCAAGGTGAGACTGCACCTCCGCACGCATCACTTCCGGCGACGAGGCAACCGATTTGGCCAAGAATCACAGCCTCGATGTCATCACTGCCGGCCGCTAAATGCATGGTTTCGTGCTGGCGAATGTGGCGTCGAATGCGAGGATGGTGTTCACGGCTGCTAGTCACTTGTTGGTGGTACCTCGGCCGTCTCTATGCATGAGGAGTTCGAATGGACTAGCCTTCCAAAGTATCCCCTTTTCCCATCCACTCACGGCGCCGGTGTCCTCTCCGTCGTCTTCGGATGACGTGTAAGATGCAACATCGTCAGATCAGGGGCGTCAAACCTAAGATCACCCTTCGGGGTAGGATTAGGAAATGTGCGCAGCAACTACGGTATCCCTTGTCGGCGGCGACCTAGATCAATATTTGCTCTCTCAAACGGATACGCTGCGTATGGCATTGTTGATCGCAAGGCGCTTGAGCTTTCGGGCGATGGCGACTTGCAGATCCGGTGTTGCGGCTATCTAGAGGAGCGGAACGTGGCCTGATTTCATGTCGTAGGAGGAAGTCACTATGTGGCCATGCCTCGGCTCGTCACAACCCAGGCACTCGACATTCTTTCGATGTGCCTCGCCTCCAACTCTTGCTCGCTATTTCTTGTTCGCGATTCAGACCTGCGCTTACGCAATGTTGCCATGTGTCGCTTCTGCACCTGTACTAGCATCGCTTGCCACCAATGAGGATAAGACTTGTCAACACCATCAGCACGCAATCGCGCCTCGTCGGTCGCCGCCTGCGCTCGATGGGCATGTGCAGCACAGATTCCCCCAGCTAGGGCGATAAGACGACTGAAACCGGCTCCGAGGGGATTGACGCGGGTCATGCATCTGTGTGTGGCGCGACAGCGATGCAGAAGTAGAGCTCGACTGCTCGTCCTCGTACGTCTGCGCGAAGTAGACCGTTATAGGCGCCAGACGAAAACGATTGGCTAGCTTGCCCCGAAGTCGCGCGAGCCTCCTCTCGCCGTGTCTTGCTTTCGTTCTATCGTGGCTTGTCGGACGCGGCGGATTTCAGCAATGCCACTGAAGGCAAAGGGCACACTCGCCACAGGGCTTCTGCGCGAAAGCGCTTGACAACGCTCCACGGTGCCCAGCTTGCGGTCGACGCTCATCACTCTGCGCACTCTGCGCACTCTGCGCACTCAAGGGCCCGCCCAGTGCCGCCACCGGGAGTTGACCATACTTGCGCCAGTATGGGCGATGTGTGCGCCGAAAAAAGCGTTCCGATGGCAGTGGCGAAACGAACGTGCTGGGGCGAGCGGATGCGAGCGAAAGATGGCCTTTGGTATTTAGTCTAGCTCTTGAACTGCCATATGTTATCCCCGCATGTCCCTTCTAAACAACCCGGCATAGTCTGTCCTGGCTCAGCCGGTCTGAGTCGACAGCGCAAGCATCTCGCTACGCACTTTCCATTACTCTTCAACACTGAGCGCAGGCCGCAGAGCTTTCTTGCAATCCTTTGTCGACAATCCGGCGCTCGCATGCGACAGAGCGCGCTTTCTTCGTTGGCGTTGGAGATCACGACGTCTTACGAGTGTAGAGTCGTTCCTACTGCCCTTTTAGCCGACTCGCACTCACAGCTCTGCCTCAGGAGCTGATCTTGCCCGTCGATATTTGCGATGGGTGCCTCTGCGGAGAGTCCCGCTCGAGGTCCACCTCATGTCAGGCAAGTGAAAAGGGTCTGGTGGACCCTGCCGTGCATTCTACTTTTTGGGATTGCGTACACATACCAGTCGACATGGGTGAGATACCGCTGTATCAGTCGATGCCGAGAGATAAAGCTCCGCTGACAATGAACCGATTCCTTGGGCTATCACGGTTCAATCTAGTCGGATCGTTGGCTCAACATTGTCCGGTCCGCGAAAGCGCCCGCAGTCGCGCCACACCAGCCCATGAGTGCTGGTGTTAGCTATGCAGACACCATCGGGCGAGCCGATAGCGCGCTCCTCGACGCAGTCGGAGTTGATTTGGAGTCTAGCGAAAAGTGTCTGGCCCCGCTGAGCACCAACCAATCCTCCGAAGCACCCAATTTTCGAGGGCAGGCTCCGCCTCTTCGGCCGCGAGTCGTGCTCTCGATATTGCAACGTCGCGCGGGCGCAGAGGACAGTCCGGCTCTCTTCAAGGCGATACACAACACTCAAGGGAACTCTGAGGCTCCCATATTCTCTGGAGGGGAGCGCGTAGCTGGCCCGTTGCCTTTGGTCAAGGAGTCGCAACACATTGTTGGGCCTGACGGGAGTGTTTTCAGCAGTCGCAAACCCTACAACCAGCTGGCACCTTCCTCGCAATACAAGTTCAAAAAGCGATTGACACTGCTGCAGATGCAGAAGGACGGCATTCCTGAGCCGCCTCTCATCAATGGCAAAAGGCCGCATGGTTGGCTGCGAGCTTTTCCAGACCCGTCGCCCGACATGGTGGGGGCGTCGATCGCGGGCCGTCCAAGGGCTGTGCGCAAGCTGCCTTCAGGCGAAGAACCGAGTGCCAGGAGGCGTCGCCCCGGGAGAGACAAGTCGGAAGCGCTTAGCGTGTCCTCGCAATGGCGACAGATGAACCCCGAGAGAACGAAGCAGGCACGAGAAAATCGCAAGAGAGCTCAACAGGCAGGAATTCCCCTCAAGAGAGGAGCACCTCGCAAGCCCCTAGACCAACTGACTCGTGCCAGCATATTGAGGAGGGTCCGAGAAGCCCAAGCGGGCAAAGCGCCTTGGCCCCAGTTGCCAGGCACTGGAAGCGAAAGCGTGTCTGGCGGCTCAACGCCTAGTCGTGACGCCGGCGGACTACTTGGAAACTCTGGCAAGACGCATGCCTCCAGCGATCCATCTCCTGCTGTGTCGCACTCAGCCAGCGTCAATATGGAGAGCACTACCCACAGTGGTAGGTCTGGATACAGTCCCAACAAGTCGAATTCGCTACACGTATCCACGGAGCAGGCTCCGAGCCACACTTTGGAACCCGCTCACGCCACCTCGGAACACACTGCCACTCCAAGGACGCTACACCGCCACCTGTCGATGCTTGAGGCAGAGTTGCACCAACCTGCTACATCACCACATCACGTCCAAGAGCACGCCGGACATGCGCGCCTTCACGATCTCATGACGGACCTAGCCCACACTCTTCGAAACACTCCCTCAGCTCATGATGACTGGACTCACGCGCTCCTTGCCGATCTTCATCCTCGGGGACTCAGTGGAGAGTTGGGAGAAGCGGTGGTGGGGGCTGCCAGCGAACACGTAAGTCCGGCGTTGCCTTCAAAAGGCGCCGGGTCGCGAGGCGGTCTATCAACGACGGCGAAGTACTTTCAGGCCAATCCAGAGAAGTACCAAGCAGCACTCAAGCGAGAACGTGACCGCAGACGACTCATGAGCGACGTGACCGGCGCTAAGCGAGGCCGACCGTTTCGGCCCTGGGACCAGCTCTCGCCGCAGCAAAAGAAGCGGAGAATCCAAAAGACACTGATGTATGACGCCGATACCAATCTCGCGAATCGTTTCAGCCAGGAAAAGGTCCGTTCCGTCCTTTCGGACTTTCAGACTGCCCTGCACGGCCCTGCACATCCAACTTCAGATGCACATACGTCGCCTGACCATCTCATTCAAGCGCATGCCGCGGAAGCGATCCAGGGACATACTCTCACCGGCCCTAGGCCCGCTGGCTTTAACGGCGAGAGCCATCTTGAAGGGTACCGAGGACAGCTCGAGGAAAGCAACGGAAAGGGAGCAGGGGTCCGAGCACCGGAAGCTGCTACGCATGCTGAGGAAGCAGTCCGGCCAATCTCGACAAGCGCATCCAGCAGCGAAAAGGGTCACCAACATCCAGATCGATACAAAGAGATGCACGCCCGCGCTGGAGCATACCGTCGACCCAAGTATGGACCACGGAACAAGCGGGGGCCTCGCAGCGCAGCCACGCCATTGCAACACCTGAGTCGGAGTGGCCTGCAGTATCGTCTCGAAAAATTGCAATCTGTTGAAGCACAATCGCGAGTAGCTCCGAATGCACCTTCGATTCAGCAGCCCGTTGTCTCACTTCCTGTCGTTCAAGGTCATAAGTACGCCAAGACATTCCAAGAACTCAGCAGCGGAGGGCAGACCTACCGCAAACAGCGATTTGAATTCCTGCAGAAGGTCAACAAGCTGAAAGGGCTCAATCCCTCACTTGGCGAGACAAGTGGCAAGACAAGCAGCGGGACGAGTGGGGCGAGCCAACAGTCGCATTCGTGGTCTTCTACGACAAGCGCACAGCCAGATTCTCCCAGGCACGCCCCGAACACTCACGCGCTTCAGAGGCGCACTGCTTCGCAAGACATCTGGAGTCTAGCAGGTGACTTGGTAAGCCGTGGCGAGGCTGAAGATCTCGTCAGACAGCTGGCGTCTAATCCCAATGTGAGGCGCCTCGACGTGCTCAGCGCCGCCGGGCCGCAAGCAGGCGCACATCTGCGAACCGCATCTGCTGAACTTGTCCGTGAAGGCTCTGCTGAAGGGACTTTGACTGCTCGTCCTTCGGCGTTTGTGCCGTACGGACGACCGGTCGGCAACGTGGTCGAGGACACCCCTCGGCTGCAAGGCTCAGGCCTTTCTACGAGTCGCAACTTTGGACACGTGCCTACGCTCCCTAGTACCGAATCCAACAGTCCTCTTGCACCTCCTCCCTCGGCGCCCATGACACCGCCAGAAAACCCTGCCAGCCGAGAGAGACCTTATGGTATTATGTATGGCGACAGTCCCAACTATAAGGCTCCTCTCAGAAAGCATCTCCGCAAACCTGACTCGGAGCTGACCAGCCCGTACCGAAAGTTGAGGGCGGACGAGGCTGCGTACCAAGCCCACCTTGCGAGGGTGCGAGATCGAAGACGCGAAAAGGAGATCGAAGCACTGGGCGGCCCGCCCGCCAGAAAACTCCCAAGAGGTCGGCTACCCAAACCGGAGGGCGAGCCACTCACTCGCTCAGCTCAATACTACCGCGAACATCCTGACCTCAGAGCGAAGGTCTCTGAGCGACGTCGAATTGCATATCGCAAGAAAAAGCTCGAGAAAGCTGCGGCTATAAACAAGCCCTCGGGTGAAGGAAGCTCCACCACACGCCTCGACGGAGCTGACCACGCGAGCTCTGCCCGTCCGGAAGAAAGTGGCCAATTTAGAAGAGACTCCATATTGCCTCCTCGTCCCACGCCAAGAGCTGCTTCTGGTCGCCAAACATCATCCATAGTGGCCACTGCTGAGCCGAGGAGAGCGTCAAGTATCCGGCGCAGAAGTCCTTCACCTGGGCCACCACTGCCGCACTTTGATGGGAGTGCAGGTGCTGTAACCTCGGATCTGGCAAGTGCACTGAGGGCAGCAGATAGTTCTGCTGCAAGCGGCCTGGAAGTTTCGTCAAGAGGACACGGGAGAGAGTCAGGCCCAGCAAAGACTCTGACTGAGGTGCGTGGCTCAGATAACCTACGCTCGAATGCGACTGACTCTTTGTTATGTGCCGATCGCAGGGCAAGGGGACCGAGCAAAAGGCTGAACGGCCTTTCATGATTGGTATACCTCGTTTCAGCATGCCGAAAAAGCCTTACGAGGAGCTCGGTCCTTCAGGACGATATTTGCGCGACAATCCCGACAAGGCTAAGTTAAAGAATGCTCAGCGACGAGGAGCAGCGGATGAATATGGCAATCCCATCAAACCTGGCGATGAAGTTTCAGAGCTTACACGAAATCGCCGAGCGAGACAGCTGGGCAAGTATGGAGGTCAGCTTCGCGAAGTTAGACCTATCGAAGACTTAAGCCCAGCACAAAGGTATTGGCGGCTGCGTCCAGAAAAGCACGCAGAGTGGAACGCACGCCGAAGAGCAGCAAGAGCAGCGAAAGCGCTCGAGAAAGCCGAACAGCAGCATCATGCCGCCGCCCTTGCTGCTGCTGGAACTCCCGAGACGGCCGCTCCATCCATCCCCATGTCAGAGCTCCGACCACACTTGAAAAGGCTGAAGCGCTCCATGCTCGCATCCTACACCACCAAAAAGAATCTCAAGTTCAAACACGCCGGATGGGATTCAAGGCGGCTAGACGACTATGTAGCTGACTTGCAGAAGGAGCTGCACTCGCCAGGACACGAGGCGGATTCTAGCAGTTATCAGTCCTCGTCCGGCAGCGTCCAATCCCCCTCGTCTAGTGCTGCGATCCCCGAATCAAGGACCCAGCAATCCTTCTCCAACGGCTCCACTGCAAAGATGCACAAAATTCTGCCTTAGCTTTCTTCGCTCCATCTGCTGCGCAAGCGCGAGCGGCCGGCAGCTTTCGTGGTGCGAATTCGATCCTCGCGCTCGCTCCGATTCCACATCTGCGACGCATTCACAGTAAGACGAAGGTCTGCAAAAGTGCAGGCGAAAGAGGAAATCAATGACGCATCTGATTGTTGCTGCTCTGATCGCAACACTGAGGACGTCTGACATTGTTCGTGCCTCACTCCATCCGAGACTCAGACGCCAGCAGCACCGCTTGAAAGCTGACGTGGCTCGTGAGCTCCCTTGATAAGTCCGCTCTCTTTGCGCTGAACTCCCTGGGCAGTGCTCGAGCCTGGAGCAGCGTAGCTGATGTTGTGACCCAACCCAGCAAGGAAAGCAGCCGTGCTGTTGCTGTACCCCACCCAACCTGGAATCTTTGGGTCCGAGTCTGCCCATTCCAGCACCGTCGTAGCTGGAAGGAGCTGGTTATGCCACCGAGGTTGAGCCTGCGTGCGTCGGCATGCGAGGTGATCATCACATGAGCAGCGCTTCGGGGCAATGCGCAACGCGAGAGGGCCTCATCACTCACCAAGGAGTCCTGCAAATCAACGCCGTTGAGAGCGTTGAAGCTGTTGATGATGTTTGCAGTGATGATACGGCTTCCACCGGCCGATCCAAGCGCAAAGGAAATCTGGCCGTCCTTTTCGGCAATGACGGGCGACATGGAGCTCAATGGACGCTTGCCGGGTTTGATAAAGTTGGCGCTAGCAGCGACATAGCCAAAGGCGTTGCTGCCGCCGGGTCTGGAGAAATCGTCCATCTCATCGTTGAGAATGATTCCGTCTGGAGTAATGAGCTGCGAGCCCCAGATGAGATTGATCGTGGTAGTGAGGGTGACAGCGGAGCCATCGGCTGCCACGACCGACAACTGCGAGGTGCCAGAGTCCGTCAAGATGTCTGTTCGAGAGCATTATTGCACAGCATGTCTCGTCAGACAGTTTTCGCTGACGCCGGGACAGCCACCGTCTATCTGCACACTCACCAATACGCTCGGGATTGTAGTGTGCAGGAGGAAAAGTCTTGTTGTCACGGATCTCGGCTTTGATTTTGCGTGCAGATTCGTCCGTGATACTTTTCCACTCGATCTGGCTGACATTCTTGATGAAGTCCTGTAAGAGAAGGAAGCAATATGAGTGAAGCTCTTGAAGACATCATCCGAAGCGGGGATCGTGTCAGCGGCATACTCACAGGATCGGCGAGGTGTGCGCGTGTAGCATATGCCCACTGTACGAGGTGGGTGCGGTCTGGTCAGCTAGTTCATAGCTTAATGAAGCTGTTGTTGCATGCGCACCTTGGTAGCTTCAATGAGGCGGTGAGTCGTGAGGTTGGTCCCAACCTCTTGAAGATCCTCGTATTGGCCAATGACATTGAGGGTATTAAGAACGACAGTTCCACTGGATGGAGCAACAGTGGATACGACCTTGTGCCTCCCGTACTGAATGTGCGCAGGTTTACGATGCACCACCTTGTAAGCGGCCAGATCGGCCTGTGTGAGGATCCCTCCGGAAGCTTGTACAGTCGCTACTGTCCTGTTCGCGATGGGACCATGGTAGAATGCATCGACACCCTGCTCGGCGATGATCTCGAGCGTGTCCGCATAGCGAATCCGTTTGATCGTGTCGCCGAGCTGAGCAGCCTTGCCTCCTGGACAGTACACTTCTGCCCACAGAGGTTCCTTGCAAAGCAGCTGGTCAGCGTATTGGGTGATGAAGACCGAGAGTTGAGAGGGAACCTTCATGCGCATGCACAGATATGTGTAAGCCCTTGTCGAACTCCTCTGATTGCTCGCATACATTCCGAACTACTCACCTTGAAGCCGTACCTGCCGATCTGAATGGCAGGCTGAAAGATATCCTTCCATGGCAACAAGCCGTGCTTGGCATGCAGAGCCTCCCAGCCTCGAAGCTCTCCCGGCGTGCCTACCGACAAGCCACCGATGGTCGAAGACTTGTTCGTATCCTCGTACATTGTCTGGTTGGACAATGCTGGGGCAGTCTCGCGGAAGTCGACCTCCGAGTAGTGTCCATGGGCGGTGCGAATCAAGGCAAAGCCTCCACCTCCGATGCCACTGTGGAAAGCTGCGACTACACCAACACAGAGCGATGCCCCAATGGCCTAATGGGACCAAAAACGTTCAGTGATCAGTAAGTGCTGGCATACCGTTGCTGCTATGATTATACTCACCGCATCGGCAGCGCTTCCGCCACGCTTGAGAAGATCTGCGCCCACGTTGGAGCATACATCGATTTCGGTGGCTACTGCGCCGCGTCTACCCGCTGGGCCGTGCTCTGGCTTGAGACCTTGAGACGGGGCGTTGAGGGCAGGAAGCCGGCCACCTTGATAGGCGGCTACATCGACCCATTGCTCTTCGGGCGATGCAGGGATGGGATTGGCGAGTGTCTGAGCTGCCAAGCCGAGCACGAAGGAGAGAGCCACGAATCGCATCGTACGCATCAAAGGGGCGGCGGCTTTGTGGCGTGAAGAGGACAGTGGAGCTGGACGAGATGAATTTGCCGGAAGTGAAAGGAAAAGGATGCTACCTTTATAGAATGGGAGGGGATGTAAGTGAGAGAGGCAAGGAAGAAGCGCTTGCAGGGAGACCGTCGCAGAGGACGAGGAGAAGGATGAGCGAGGAAGGGGGAGGGTTGATGGAAGGAAGGAAGGAAGCGAAGAACACTTTGGGGCTGGGTGCCAAGGTGCACTTTACGAACACATTGGTGTGCCACCGCTACCATCAGGGCGGGAAGCCGTCACCATTTACATTGCGGCTTGAGGCTTAGGCTGGTGGTGTGCTGGCGCGGCATCACCCATACAGTTGAGTCAAAATTGTAAACATTTGAGCAGACAATCTGAGTGCTGCTGCATGCTGCGGACGAGCGCCGTGATGCGTCGGCCACTTGAAGCTGCGTTGCTCGAAGACACCTCGCTGCTGCTATTAGCTGCGGTTGCGGTTGCGCTTAGCTGCAGTCACGAGTAGGTATCACTTGCAGTGCATGCCGTCGGTCGCCGTCATCATCGAAGCAGGTGCAGCTATAGGCATACCGACATGTCAAGATCGGCGGATCCTCCGTTACACATACCGGGAGAGTCACGGCGGGTGCGATGTATAACCGACTCAGGCTCTAATGATAACATTATGCAGAGCTTCAGGGGGGCGAAGATCAATCCACAGCAGCATCAGCGCATGCAGCCGGCGGCGGGGCGCGGGTGGACGGTTCGACGGTTCTGACGCCTGCAGACAGCAGGTGCTGATGGGATTAGCGCGGGACCTGCATGCATGGCAGCCCCCAAATTACGCCTGTCGCGATGTCGTGCTCGGACGACGCTATCTCGTCAAAGCAGCAGCTGCGAGCTTTTGCGCGACTCGATCGTGCTGAGTGGAGACGCGCGCGCGCGTTTTTACGATCGAGCGAGCACTCGTAAAGAATGTGAATGCCCTTCGCAGTCACGACTCACGATTCATACCCTCATGCCCGCCTGTACACATTCAGGATGGTGATCACATTTTACAACATACGTGCCCAGCCGCTCGGCGCCTTGGCTCCAAGCTACAGCACGCAGAAGCAGCGTCCAAGAACCAATCATTGCGCGTGCCAAGGCAACTGTATACTCACGATCACATATCACGCAGCGCAGACAGCACGACTCGTGACAATCGTGAATCCTCGCACGCGCGGATCGCGGCAATCACGGAAGCCACGGGTCACATATACGTCCCGTTCACCGCATCGCGAGGTTTTTGGCCTGACTGCGCCTTCCGAATGGAGAGGTCGTGAGACGTGATCGAATCTGAGTGATAAGGGATATATTTGCGCACCCAGCGTACATCGTATGTGCCGTCTGCATCCGCGGAAAAGTGGTGCATGGGGCGGCCATCTCGGACTTCCGCGGAGACCACCTTACCAGCCCCATGAATGGTGCACGTGACATGCGGTTTTCGGTACCCGCCGCGGACATAAGTCTCGCTGCATGGTGAAGAAGCACGGTCTATAAGCGTGGACCCCTCTTTCATCCAAATGACTCCGACTCCCATCAATATCAGCGACGAGCCCCAAGTCGATTATACGTCATTGACACATCAAGCGCATCGCTCCACCCAGGCTACTCGCAACTATCACGCCCTACCAGCTCATCCATTCACCATGCCGGTCTTCTCGCGCAAACCGATCGGCGATGCGTTCGGCTCATCCGGCGGTGCGGGCAGCTCACGAAATCGGCCCCTCAACTCGCGACTCAGTCTAGCGCTCAAACGACGACCTTTCCTCTTCTTTGGCTTGCCATTCATATCTGTCATGGCCGGTGCCTCTGTAGCCCTGTCTTACATCGCCCAGACCAAATTCGACTATGACGCGTCCAAAGTGCAGAGCATCTCCAAATCGGAAGAATTGAAAATGAGAAAGGATAGGAAAAAGATTGATATCAGGGAAGAGTATTTCGTGAGTAGGATGCTACCACCCCACGAAGCTGTTCGTGGAGTGCAGCGTTGATGATTCGAGCACATGCGCTCTCAGAAATTGGAATCGGATCCAAATCGATCTGCGGCGCTTGACGACTGGGAGCCCAAGCGCGTGGAGAGGCCGCCGGGTGTGCCCGAATGGGGTATCCCTGCAGACGCATCACCCTCTTTGCCTCCCAAGCGAAAAGGCTGGTTCTCGTCCTGGGCCAGCAACAAGGAGGTGCATGCTGATGGTGGCGCTCTTCCGCGCCTCGACGAAGCGGGTGAAGAAGCTTCGGGTGTGAATGTAAGCGCCCGGAAGCCTGGTGTGATATTGGGGCCGGATGGTAAGCCGTGCAGAGCTTGCAATTCCAAATTGGCTTTCTCTGCCGCTATGAGAGGCACTGGGAAGAGTGGCGTTGCTAGATCAAGCACATCGCAACAATCCAACTCGACCCCTTCCAAGGCGGCAGCCGCGAGTGCAGGTGCAGGAACGAGCGCCGCGGCAGTAGCTGCCACTCGGTCAAGCAGCGAGCAGCACACACGGCAATGTCCCCCGGATGGCGAAGAGATTGGCAGATCGACGTGGCTGTTCCTGCACAGCGCCGCAGCATACTACCCAGAAGAACCCACGTCCATTCAAAAGTCTGCCATGCTCTCCCTACTTCGGTCTTTGCCACATCTTTATCCTTGTCACTCGTGCGCCGCAGCGCTCGGAGAAGAGTACGAGCGCGAAAAGAGGGAAGTAACATCCTGGAATGCAAGAGAAGGAGGGCAAGCGGACATCTTGGAGCAGGCTGTTGGGAATGGACAGACGCTTCGACGTTGGTTGTGTGGAATACACAACGAAGTCAATGAGAGGCTGGGCAAGCCTGTGTGGGAGTGCAGGGAGGAGGTGTTGCAAGAGAGGTGGAGGGATGGACCGCGAGATGGCAGCTGCGATTGAGACTGCCTTTGCGGATCTTGGTGTGAAGGAATTCTCACCACTGCCGCCGTCTGTATCATTACCTGATCAAGATCAAGCATCATTTGCAAGCACACGCATAGCATACAGGCGGGCATGGAGGGCGACAGTCACGCGCCTCGCGTGATGAATGGGCGAATGAATGATGTGCGAGGCGTGGGCGATTTGATAGGAATGAGGGATAATAGTGATGGCCTAAACCACAGCTGGTCTCTGAAGGCTCTCTGGACCTGACGAATGCAAACCAAAAGCAAAAGGCGAGGAGTAGTGGGACAATATAGTCAGCTCTAGTATTATTGTAGGTATGATTGAACGCATCGAGAAGCGACTTTCGAAATATGCAAGCAACGGCTAGATTCCGCCAGACATGCTCCCTTTCCCCACGACTTACCAAAGCTGAGGGGCAAGAGCTGTTCGAGGGTCATCACCTTGACCGTGTCCTCCCCATGGCCCAGTGCAGGCGTCCACTCTCTTCCCGGTTCCTGGTGGGCCTCTTCACCCGACCGCTTCTCCGCCTCCGCAACTCCCTCTACCGTCTTTTCGATCTGTTTTTTGGGAGGCGCAAAGGGCATGTAGATGGGCACTTGTTCCGAACAGTGTTCCCGAATGAACTGCCGACAGATCCCGCATGGTGGGCAGGGAGTGTGCAAGTCGGATGATACGGCTATGGCCACTACTGGACTAGGCGCGCGAGAGGCCACTCGCCAAGTGCTGAGCGCCGTCCTCTCGGCACAAATTCCGGCACCTTCAGCGCGCAAAGAGTGAGCGAAGGTGTGTCAGTGGTATACGTGTCCAGAGTACGGGTGTGGAGCAGGAGAATACGTGCACGTGGCACTCTTCACTGCGCTCACCGTAGCTGGCATTCTCCACGTTGGCTCCGTCGACAATGGTGCCGTCCTGCAGAAGCAACGCTGCGCCGACGCGGAACTGCGATACCGTATACCACAAAGGCAAGCAAGCAGCTTATCAGCAGTCATGAGTGTTTGCGCTGCGATTCAACGCAATCCAAGTCGAGGCTGTGATGCTCAACAGGTTCGAGCAATCTCACTAACTCGCTTCCGAACACCTCACACCCATGCATGCATGCATGCAACTTGTATTTGCCTGCATCCATCTCCGCTTGCTTCTCATCTCACCTTCGAGTAAGGACTGTAGGCCTTTTTGCGTGCAGCGACTGCTGCTACCAGCAACTGGTCCAGTGCTGCCGAAGAGATGGGGATAGCGACGGGTGCAGAGTTGGTGGATGAAGCGGACATGATGCTTCGAAGCAGTGAGTCGATGAGCGGGATTAGAGTGCGTTTCGCAGAGGTACGTGGGTGTGGTGGTGAGGATGAGAATGAAGAAATGCAGGAATTGAATGTTGCATCGCACCTTTGAATCGGTCAGGTCGACGTCCTGGCTGGCATGGTCAGCAGCAGCCTTGCTACTTGCATCGAGGGACAGTCACCAGTCAGTATGTCAGTCAAGACCCCGCACGCATGCATAGCCTTCGACGAGGTCCGTGCCCCGTTGCGAATCAGCGATTCTATAGCGTTTCTATTATTGAACGTCTGTATGATACCTTCAAGCAGCTATCCACCCACAAGGACAGGCACACGACATTCACGATTCGGGATATTCCCCCAGCTGCATGCAACCTGCAAACTACCGCGTGGTGCGCGATCCGCCAATCTCGTACGAGACGAAGAAGGCCTCCGCGTGCCAAGCCAGCAGCCATCGTCCTGCAGCCCTGCTGCAGTCGTGAGCAGCCATACACAGGGCTCAAATC